GCGGACAGCAGTGGTTGCTGTGCAGTGACTGGAGGGCTGAGAGAAGAGGGGGAAGGTTGGCAGAGAGCATAATAATTTGATTGGCCATAAAACAGTGACAGCACTCACAGAAAACAAATCAAATTTCACTGTCCTAAATAGTCAGCATTGTTCATTTGATTGGATAGGCCTGTTATCAATCTGGGTAGAGGGAATAAATACATCAAAGCCAATCAGAGGCCCTGAATAACTCAGGGCCCTTGGGCTGCAGCCCTAGATGCAATAAGAACTGGGACCCCCTGCAAATATTTGTGCCCGGAGGCCTGTAAGTTCATGATCCTTGATTGGGTTGATGCGATTTTGGGTTTATCTCTGCTGTGGTGAGAGGAAAGGAAAGGGCATCAAAAGATACTTACGACTTGTAGCAATGGGCAGCTGAGACCACCCACAAGCTGGTGATCAGAGAGCCTCCGCAAAAGTGATACCCAGAATTCAGAGACACCTGGTAGGGCACTCCGTTCTTTGCGCACACGTACCCTCCGACGATCTTATCATCGTCGTTGTCAATAGGAGCAGCGACTGTGGAGCAGACAGAGGAAAGCGTATGGATATCTACATGTGCATGTATCTGCAAACTCACTGGACAAAAGCCTGGAATATATACAGAAAGTTTTTAAACTTACATGCCACAGAAAAGAGAGCCAGTAAAATGATGCACTTCATGATTGGAGTGACGGCTTGATGCTCAGCATAGAGCTGTGCCTAGAACCTCTACTTTTATACGGTCCCTGTTTTCCCATTTTTAATCCCCCAATTAATCATTAGCTGTCTTGAGAATGCACAGATGGCCAATGAAGGCCATACAATGATAACACATTCCACCGCTATATTGAGTTTATACAAACATTCTGTGCCAACTCACATGGGACATCTATGCATTTCTACATTTCTTTGGATTCCTTCTTTGAAAAACCAAATTCAAAGCTGTCATTCAAGTAGTTTTTTTAAGCCTGCCCCTAAATCACATCTTAAAAAACAAATTTAACTGCTTACAAAAACTACGAATAATATTTCACTTTAAAGCCATTAGTTTCATGTTAATATATTCCCACAATATACAGGATGGTGTGTCACTGAATAAGCACAGTTATGTCTCATTAACATAAAAAATCAGATGTGCTATAACATTTTATGGTTTCATAATTTTTGAACATGAGATATTTGATTGGGAAACACAATATAAAGAAACAGTGAAGCAGTGTATTCATTTCTGTTTGGGGGGGCAAGGTAATGTATTCTTTAATGCCTTGTTGTTCTGCAGTATATTATATACAGGATCAATACAATCTAGGAAGACTGATGAAAGAACAGTAGGACCAGGCCCAATCCCACTTCTTATTTTTACCCCTATCCCTTGTTTTCGAGTGTCACCTTGACCCTTGGAACTGAGCTACCAGGGTTAGTGGTTAGATCTTCCCCTATGAAATGGGACCCTCAAATAAACAAGAGCATTGCTTCATTAACAGCTACTAGCACTGCTCTGTAGGCGACCCTGCCGGTCTGCAGTGACAGCAGAGGAGGGTAAAGTTCAGCTCTTCACTGCTGGGCTTTAGTTACATTTAGGGCATCATACACCTTCAAAGAGGGGGACAATTATTTATTATCGTCCACCCCTAATTCTTCAGTGATATGAAGCTGAAGTCAGATATTCACCAGCTTCTTGTTTGAATTTTCTTGTTCCACCTTAAATGGAGCAGCAGTTTCATTCTGGCACTTCAGGCCTCAGTACGGCTGGACTATTTAAGGTGGAACAGGAAATTTGCTAGCTATCGGCAAACTACTAGCGATTTTTATGTTTGTTATGAAAAAAAGGATCATATTATATTGAAACAACATTAAACTAAAATAATACAATGGTTATCGTAATTTTTAACGGAGAAAATTCTCACATTTGTGGGTTTCTTTGGTCGCTTGTTCAGTTCTCTTGTCGGCTTTTCTTTTTTTCTTATAACACTCTGTTTGGAGTCTCTCTGAAAAACCTCCATTTGGAGGGTCATGTAGCCCTAACACTTCACCCAACCCCTCTATCTCAACAAAAATCGGGACACCCTTCCCCTAGGCATGAACACGCAAAACGGAGGGAAAAGGGCTAAGTGGTAGGGACAAGGGGTGAAACGGGATAGGGGCCCACTCACAACACCATGCACTACAATCCCCAGCATGCACTGCAACACAATATGCACTCCCACCACCCTTCTCCCAAACTAGTCTATGGGACAGTGGTTACACCACAATTCTACCACACCAGTCACATCACCAAACACAGAGTTTCAGCAACCAGTTTAAACACTGAAATTGCTCAGAAATTGACCCCAAGAATGAATGAACTTGCAGCAAAGAAAAGATGCCAGGAGTCTAGTTTAAGCAAACGGGTAGGTTTAAAAGACCTACATGCTGGGTACTTGAATATTTCAAGTTTTCATGTAATGTTTCAAGGTCTATTACGCTATTATTATCTATTATGCTTTTATTTTGCTGTTGATGTTTTGCCATGTTTTGAATAAACAATGGACAGTTAAGGTTATAACAAAAATGTTAATTAAAAATGAAATAAAAATTTGTGAACATGGCTTATGGCTTTGTTGAGATTTTTCAATAGGGCCCTTTCAGTGCTTGATTTCGAAACTCCTGTTCTACATCATGTGCCATGTTCCCACTCCCAGTGTTGTGTTTAAAATGCTTTAGCATAGACCAGGGGTCAGCAACCCAAATGTTAAGAGCCAGTTTGTCCTTTCAACAAAAAATTGAACCACCTTGGAAGCCACAACATTTTATATCCATTTTACCATCTTGTAAATATGTCTTAGTATGTGCTGATGTCCCAGTACAGGCTAAGAAACATAATGTAAACGAAAACGCAGACTTACTTTGCTCTGTTTTAAGCTTTAGCTCAGCTATAGTCGCTTTTCTTACATCTCTGGCAGGAAAGTTTTCCACAAAAGTAGAATAGTTTTTGTAAAACGTCTCTCAACATTCAACTTTTTTACGAGGCTGAGGTCAGCTTGTCATTCGCCAGCTTCTTGTTTGAATTTTCCTGTTCCACCTTAAATGGTGCATAAATGAATGAATGAATGTAATTGCTGCACCATTTAAGGTGGAACAGGAAAATTCAAACAAGAAGCAGACCCGCAGCTTCGCGTCTTTTTAGTGTTCTTGTTGCAGATTAAACATATCAGGAAACCAGCTGAAGTAATTAGAAATTTCTAAACTTCTTAAAGTCTATTCGTCTCCAAATTATTGATGTTCGTCTTAAATCTTTCTCTTTGCCTTTTTGTTAGCTACTAGCTAGGTGAAATTCTTGTCTGTGCTTCTATGTGACCAGCAGTCTACGCACCAACCTTCAGGGTTGAAGGGTGAATTAGCAGATATAGGCTACTTTAACTCCAGCTTTTGAGAGCATTTATTGTTAAAACTGTGTTTGAATGATCAGCAGAGCTTTATTTTACAGCAAAGGAGGATTATTTTATTTTTACGTCGGCAACATGCAGCTCTGGAGTTACATACACAAATTTGGTGCTGATTGAAAGTTTAAAATCCACACTTTCAACACCAGCTCCACTTGTTTAAAAGAGTTACGAGTAACAAATAATTAAGGCATTTAAAGCATTTTACAGCCAAAACCCCAGAACACAATACCCTGCAGTTGACTGATGTACCTGACTGGGCTGCCAGAATCTCCTTGAAGAGGTCAAGAAAAGGGTGTATATTTTAGTAAAAGCACAAAATAAATATGATGTTCTTTGGTTTTGTTGTGTAAGCAGACTGTTTATTAACCCTTAGAAATTAGTGCTGTTGTATGGCTGCACTATTTAAATGTAATTGCCTTAATTAATTAATTAATTATGGCAAAACATGGTAAAAATGTAGAGGATGGTTTTCTTTTCACAAGACAAGAGAGTAACATTTCATCATATTTTAATTATAATAATTAAATCAAATCAAATTACAAACACACATTTGGTGCCATGTCAAAGTTTCAAATATGCCCTTTTGACAATATCTCCACTTGTATTTAGCATTTCTATACCAGTTTCTTATTGACTGAACTGAAAATTTATCGCTGTTGTTGGAAGAAAACCTCTTATCTCCATCTTATCTCCATTTTTGTCATTTTTCAGTTTTTGATATAATTTGAAAATACATGTTGGCCTTTATATTGTTACATATATTGTACATTTCATGATGAATGGACCAACAGAAATGACCCAAAATGACTTGGAAAGATGTCATTGACTTTCATTAAAAGTAAAGTAGGTTTTTTCGTTCTCCTGTAAAGTTACCATTTTGGAGATACAAGGTTTTTTTTTCGACAGCAGCGTAATGCTAACATGCTGGGTGTATTAAGCCATTTGAAGGCAAAATGTGGTTTTATGTAGGATTTGAAATTGTTTAAGGTTTGATGCAGCTGTTTTGGAAATTTAAGAGTAACTATATTACCATGACGACTCGCAAACTGAAAAAGAAAAGTAAGTATACATTCTCTACAGGGAACACAGTTAATCTGCTCATTTTAGTGCACAATTTCCATAAAATGGAAAATATATAACAGAAAATGAAATATGAACTTTTGCACAGGGCAGCTTTTGTGTTTATTTTTCTCTAATATGTCAGATTCAACAAGTAAACTGTGATTGTGTACTAAAATGTGCAGAAATGTGTTCTCTACGGAGAACGTGTACTTATTTTCACTTCAATCAATTTGAATCTTAGAAGAATAAAGGCAAAATTAATAAAAGCCCCTGTCTTTTTGACCTTAGACTGTACAAGAGCCCTCTTGGTGGGTGTGGATAATATCTGCAGTAATGTGGCCTTGGGATAAACACTGTTTGCTCTCCTCTAGAACATGATTAGACTGACTGTTTTGATAAGTGTGCAATGTTCTGCAAAGTATATCAAGTTTAATTCACACTCAGTTCAGTTATTCATCTTGAAGTGTGGGTCCACATATGAGTCCATTACAGTTAAAATGGTCAGATATTTTCATTTGCGCTTCCATACAGCACTCAGTCATGAAATGAGGCACTCACACACATTTCTTTCATTCTTCTGTTACAAAAATGTTTAATCCTTTCCAGATATTTTTGGAAATTTGAGCAATGGCACAAAATGCAACATCTGAAAGATCTAATTGCTGTTTATGGTGCTGGTGATCCAGGAGACGAAGTTGTAGACTTTGGTGTAGACCCCAGGCTTATTCTTCAGGGCACAGCCATAACCCCAGGACACAATACCCTGCAGTTCACCGTTGCACACGACTGGGCCACCAGAATCTCCCTGGAGAGGTCAGAAAAGGGGTTTAGTGATCAGTGAGAGCACAAAATAAATTTGATGTTCTTTGATTTTGTTAGACTATGTATAACTTTTAGGTACTATTACTGTCATTTGGCTGCCCTTTTTTAAACATAATTACATTAAGTAACTAATAAATTATGGCTTTCCACAAAACAAGACAAGAACACAATCAAATTTTAATAATAATAATAATAATCTTCAATACAAACTTGGTGCCAACTGAAAGTCTGCTCTTTTGACAATATATCCACTTGTTTGAATGTGTTACGACTAAGAAAGATTTAAAAGAGGCGTTTTAAGGCGTTTGCTTGTTATTTACAGACATGTGGAGAATTTGTGTTTAGCATTTTTATACCAGTTTTGCACTGATTGAACTGATCATTCTATAACTCATGCTAATGTTGAGAGTATAATGCCATTTGAAGGCAAAATATGTTGTTCCACAGGATATGAAAATGTTTTGAGGTATGATTAGAGGTGAGTGATGTAGCAAAAATATAATATTTGTGATTCTTCAAGAAATTTTCACAGTACAAAATATGACATGATATTTATTTTTTCAGACATCTATCAGTTGGAACTGAGAAAAAAGAAGCCGTATTGCTACATTTAAAAAAAAATACTATAAAAAACTGTGAATATAATGATTTTTATTCAATATCTGACATACTATGTTTCACTAAATCTAGTTAAACAGGACTGATTCGCTCTCTTTATAACAAAACATGCAGCTGGTACTGATAATATCCATGATATGTTCAAAAAAGCATACTGTACTGTGACAAAATTTATCACGATAACAATATTTATTGTTATATTGCCCAGCCCTAAGTATGATACAGCTCTTTTGAAAATTAAAGAAAAACTGTTCAGCAAACTGAAAACAAAGAAAGTCAGCAGTGCTCTTGATTGAGTCCTGATGCTCTCATTACCTGGCAAGAGTCTTTGCCTCCCTCCAGGAAGCCAGCGCAGAACATGCTGGAGGTGATCTGAAGAGGATAGGCACTTTTGCAACTGCTGTCACTCAGGATCGGGATTTCCAGGCACATCAGAGTGGAGGGGTAGTTTGCTTTTGAGAGAAAAATAGAGCAAAGTCATACTGGTCACGAGCACACAGTACAGCGAGACAGAGAGTTTGCTATTACATTAACTTTAACATTGAAATGGCTATAAATACGACACTGTTTTATGATTTCTGAGATAAGCTTTTGGCCTAGAACGTTTTTTTTTTTTTAATTTGCCACTATTTACTATCATCAGCGTGACATATAAACTCAGAAGGCAAATGTAGTTCACAGATTGTTTTCCATATTTACAACAAATCACCAAAGATCTACCTGTTAAATCTGCTTATTTATCTCCACACATACAGTACATTCCTATAATGCAGCAAGTGATGCACACAAACCCTCCTTTGTTAACCCCTTAAAATCCCAGGTTTATTACATAACACGGCTTATTATTCTGTACCTACAGGGACTTCAATTCAAACTAGTTGAGCTCTTCTTACATTGCAGAACTGTGTAATAAAACTTGGGGCCATGGCCATGTAAGGGGCTAATCAGTGGGCATGCAGGACAAGCAGATTCAATTTATATTCTTTTTGTTGTGATGTAAACATATGACAGTGAAAGCTGCCTTCGGCTCGTGCCTGCGACAAATCACAGCTGTGATGTTATTTCGCGATAACACACTCCCTCTCGTGTTCTATTGCTTAATTATGTTCCAGAGTTTTCAGCTGTCACTGTCATATGTTTACATTGCTGAGCAAGCTTTTCAGTTGGTAGATGTGACAGAAGAACACTTAAGAACCTGGAATTAGCCAGAAATGAACCGAATACCATTTGCCAAACGTGTAGTCTGATCTTCAGAGTCTGACCAAATCAGACTGAGCCATAAAACTGCCGCAATATCAAGTTCAGCTCAGTTTTGTCAATTTTTGCAAGATCAGTATTAATGTTGTTTTGTTCCAGCCAGTCTGTAAAGCATCTTACAGCCCGTTTAGTTTGGAGAATGGTATTGGGTTCATTTCTGGCTGATTCCAGGTTGTTTAGCTGTTCTTCTGTCACAGCTGCCGACTGAAAAGCTGCTCAGTGGTGATGACAGTTTGGGAATTTAGTGTCGTCTCATCTTCAGAGTCTGACCAAATCGGCTGTCGGTCAAATGTGATCTTAAAAGTATCCATTTTCTGTTTGTGGCAAAGTAAGAAGTAAAAACGTTCCAATGGCTTGAGCGTCGAAAGTCGTTGCTTAGCAACGGCATGTCAGCGGAGTGATGCAGTGTTTGTGAAAAAAACATGATGTTATGGCGAAATAACAGCACAGTTAGTACACTTCATCAGCTTTCATGGCCGGAACTAACTATTGTATAATTATGTGATAATTGAGACAGGTCTCAGGATTGGTTGGTGGGGCATTGACCCAGTAATTGACCCTCAGATGCTAGGCCTGCCCACTCTAAAATTACATTACAATTAAAAGAAATTGTCAGATTATGACTATGTGAATGTTTGCTGTCCTGCCACTTGCCCTGCAGTGAGACAGAAGCAGTGGGCAAATTATGTTCAGTGGGTTTTGTATTATACATAAGGTATGCACACTTACTTCCACTGGTCAGAGTGTTCCCCCATCCAGTGACCAGGCATTCGGTACCAGCAGAGGGGAAGCTGCTGGGCAAGGACACAGTGCGCACATAGCTGTTCAGGGTGGCAGGTGAGCTCAGCTTGATAAGCATGATGTCATTGTTGAGGGTGAGGCTGCTGTAACTGGAGTGCCTGATGACCTTGGCGGAAGAGATGACCTGCTCAGTGCCCTCGTTGATATCAAAGTTGTGTTCACCCAGATACACTTGGTAAGATCTATTAAAAGACAAGTGAGAGTTAATCTTATTATGTGCCCAGTTTTCTTTAGGAAGGACAGGTTCACAGCATGTCCATACCGTGTAGTTGCAAGATTCCTAGAGGCCTTTTTGTACCATGTTGTTTCAGCATCTGCCCATTGACCTCTATTATGATAACAGATATTTCTGTTCTTTTTAAAGTATGAGGTGTTTAAGGCTACGTTCACATTACCAGGTTGAAGTGGCACAAATCTGATTTTCTGCCCTAATGTGACTCAGATCTGATGTTTTCAGGGCTGTGTGGACACACAAATCTGATCTTTTCAAATCTGACCTAAGCCACTTTCATATGTGGTCCTAGATCGGATATGTTTCTGATTCTTGGCCGTGCAACCTTAACATGACGCTCAGATCAAAATTCATGTGCTTTTTTTCCACCGCGCGTGCGCCATCATTCAGCGTTACCATGGCAGCAGCGCCAAACAGAAGTTAAAGCCTGTAAACGGTGGAAAAGCAACACATCTAAGCTTTTTCACCTTCGTCTCGCTCTAATAATGAAGCTGAGAGCTGATCAGAGTTAATTATCCTCTCAGTGAAGCTCGTTCTGCTCGTTAGTTTGTGCTGATGATGCACGTGATTCATTCACGTGATGTTACTGAGTAGGATGTGCGCATGTGGGTCATTTCAGAACGCTGGTTCGTTCACATTAATGACAGATTTGAATCACTTACCTAAATGAGTGTGAACCATCCTGTCAGAGAGATTGGATTTGAGCAAAAAATCGGATTTGAGCAATGAGGCTTGTAATGTGAACGTAACTTAAGGTATAGTGTGAGCTTCTGTGATGTACTAATAAAAGGAACCAAGTAGGCCTGTATACAGATACACCACAGGGGAGGCTTAAGCCCTTCCCCTCATATTGTGCCCACTTGGTCAGCAAGTATAAAGGCTTTTTTAGCAAGTTTTAACAAGATAAGGCTCACTCTCGCCCTAGCAACAGAGCCTGCGGGGCACCTCCGGTACTACGAGATTCATCAGTATGGAGCCCCTCCTCTGATGCAGTACTGGCCATCTGTGGTTCTTCTCAGTAACTTCGACCTGTCATGTATCGCCGCAGCGGTGGAAATCTCACCAATAAGACATCGATAATCTAAAGAGAAGCAGCTCATTTTTATAACAAGGTCACTTTTGACAATGACCAAACAAGTCAGCACTAAGAGTTTTCTTCATTAGAAAAATAATAGGGATTTATATGAGACACAGTGTAGCAATTCCAGCAGCACTGCTGTGTCTGATCCATTCAGACCAGCGCAACACACATTAACACACCACCACCACGTCAGTGTTGCTGCAGTGCTGAGAATGATCCACCACCCAAATAGTACCTGCTCTGTGAGGGTCCATGACCGCTGAAGAACAGGGTAAAAGGGGGCTAACAAAGTATGCAGAGAAACAGATGGACTACAGTCTGTAATTGTAGAACTACAAAGTGCACCTATATAGTAAGTGGAGCTGATAAAATGGACAATGAGTGTAGAAACAAGGAGATGGTCATTATGTAATGCCTGATCGGTGTATATATGTCAGTTAAATAAAGTAGTGAATAATGCCATGACTTTGCTTGTTGATGACTAGAGTTCAAATCCCAGTACAGATAGTAATGTTGGTGTTTTTGGAAAAACTATGTTTGGATGTATCTGAAACATGATTGCACTGTCTGCCTTCATAATACTGATTGTATGGAGAAGAATTTGTGCCAAATTGAAAAGCAATCATTACAGTAGTTAATATGAAATGCATGACACTACTTTTCCATAGTGAGATGCAGAAAATCCACCATCGACATGTAATAAAGGCACAACTACGTTGCTTTCCACCGTGCAGTACTTTAAACAGCTTTTCCTCATTGAAATGCAATCATAACAGTGAAAGCAGTAAAATATAACGCACACATGACATTACTTTCCCATAGTGCCAAAGCCTCTACTACAATGTTTTCACATTACTTAACCACTTACTTGGCCATGGGGAAAGTTTTAGTACACACTTCTATAACCTAAGAATAGCTCAACCAGTTTGCATTGAAAACCCTGTACTTACTGGGTAATAAGCCATAGTATAAAATATACCTGGGATTTTAAGGGGTTCACATCTTTTTCATATTTAAAGCATATTTGCCTCCATGTAATGCAACCAAAACAGTGAAATGCAATGCACGCATGAGATTTAACCCTTTAAACAGTAACATGCGGAAAAAACATGCCAAAATGAAAAGATCCATTACACTGATTGAACATTGTTTTAAGTACTGCACAGTGGAAAGCAATATATGCCTTTATATTTCAAGGCAGATTGTATTTAGTTCTGATGTGAATTCAGCATTTTGGTTTTAAAATGCAAATCCAAATTCATCTCCTTAGATTGCGATGTACAGTAAATCTAATTTAATTTATAGTCATATTCCCCTTTTTTGAGCTTTGAGCCTCTAAAATGTCTGCGCATGGGCCTAAAACCAAGTCACTACCCAAATTGAAGGATAAAAAGGAAGTCTATGACACTTTTTTTGTAGTTTTGGGTTCATTTTTTTGGGTTTTCCATTGGAGATCAGGAGGAAAAGAACAAGTAAACTAAATATTATCTGAAAAGAACTTTACTTACGACTTGTAGCAGTGGGCAGCAGACAGGACCCACAACTCATTAATCAGAGAGCCTCCACAATAGTGATACCCAATATTCAGAGACGCCATGTAGGGCACCGAGTGTGCTGGGCACTCATACCCTCCGATGATCTTATCATCATCATCAACAGGGGCGGCGACTGTGTAGTGGAGAGAGGAAAGTGTATGTTTATCTACATGTGCATCTGTAAACTCACCAGACAAAAAATTAATCACATGCATCATTTATTTTCTACTTTTTTGGTCACTTATCAAACAGCATCAGTCCTGCCAGGCTGTCCATCCAGACGCTTGCTGTCCATTTTAGTCCACTCTTTTACAAACTAGGTGCACATTTCAGACAGAGTTCATTTCACTCGCTCTGCCAGATTGAGAATGAGGTTTGAGGTCTGGTAATTTTGCTGGGTAGTCAAACTGTCCCTATGTTACATCATGTCTATTGACCCAGTCACATACAGACACCCTACACCTCTCATCCTGGAATGTGGGAGTGTCAATTTTGTTTTATACTCATACATGAAGGAAAAGTGGGCAAAAATGGACGGAAAGAGCTGTCTCAAGGAACCAGACAGGATTGATGCTGTAATTAAGGCAAGGAAACACTCAACCAAGCATTAGCAAAGAAATAATACATGCAGCTATTTTTTGTCTGAGGAGTTTATATTAATTATACATATTAATTATCCATGTTTTTAATAAAATGTACAATCTGACAGCTTTTCAAATAATTAAAACCTATGTCCAGAATGATCACTCCCAGATCATCCCATGGTTTTTATGGGCGCATACCCAGGGGCCCAAGCCACTAGGGGGCCCCCCACAAGCAATTATGACAAAATCTAAACAGCTGTTTTGACTCACAGTGGGAACTTTAATAGCGACACGACCAGAAAATGAACTAATTTAAGCTTTGTCGTAGTGCTATGGTCGTAGTGTTATGTTTTTCCACTTTATCTTCTCTTCCAATAACTGCTTAGTAACCGTTCCACTATTCACCAAGTCAAGCTTTCGGTTTTTCAACAGTATGTTAGCCTGTGAATGTACTTCAGATTTGAAGCTCCAGGTATTTAAATGATGTATCTTATCGCTAAAAGTGAGACCTGATACCCTAAACGAGTAGAGCATGCCCATTTCCATGTCAGCTGTGGCAGTATGCTTTAGCCTAGGTTGCTTGAGGGTTTCATGTTTTAAATGTGCTAGTTTGTACAAGCCCTTGTTATGTACATCTTAGCTCTCTGATTTTAATGGATGCTTTAAAAGTGAGCGTTACAGTGGTTGTTATGTTTATCTTAACCTGTGTTTCATGTGCCAAACACCATAGTTAGTACGCTGCCAATGTGATGCGTCCCAGACCTGATGTGACCGATTACGTTACCATAAATTCATGACCACCAATGCAGGTAACCAGGTTTGGGCCCTTCAAACATTTGTGCCCACTTAATGACCTTAATGGTCTGAGCCTGAGAATTATGAAATACTGAGAAAACTGTATAACATCAAGAATTGAGCTATAGTGCCTATAAAAAGTATTCATGGAGTAAAAACAAATGAGATCTGCTGTGATTTAATGTTCTTTGATGAATTATGAAAACTTGAGGGTGAATACCTTTTATAGGTAGTGTGTAATGAAAATATCGGAGTTCATCATAAGTCTCATTTAAAACAACATATCGCTGTTGTCGGAAGAAAACCTCGTATCTCCAAAATGTAACTTTACAGGAGAAGGAAAAAACCTACTGTACTTTTAATGTAAGTCAATGGAACCAGACCTTTTTCCCAAGTCATTTTGGGTCATTTCTTTTAGTCCATTTATCATGAAATGTAAAGGACAACAGGCATTTTCAAAAGATGTCAAAAACTGAAAAACGACAAAAATGGAGAACATTCAACTCTTTGAAGAACATGTTTGTAAAGCCATAGTGTTGTTTGTATGTCACTCAGAACATACAGATGGCACTGATTTGATAGAAAACAGTGGACACTGGATAGAAGGTAAGAGTATATCTGATCCAATCTATCTTAACAGAGAGAATAATTACAAATCATTAATTACAGACATCACAATGTGCACAAAACCTTTTCCTGATTTCCTGATCTAGTGAAGATGTTCAGAGAATAATGTGTATAAATAAGTATTATATAAAATATTTAAACTTTTTACATTTCATCGAGTTCATTGCACTTTTTTGCACTTTGCTCTAACAAAGAATAAAATCAATTAGAGTACATATATACATATATGTATACATCTATACACGTGTTATAGATGAAACAGAAGTGAAAAACTTACATGCCACAGCAAAGAGAGCCAGTAAAATAATGCACTTCATGACTGGAGTAACTGCTGGATGATCAGCATAAAGCTCTGCCTAATGCCTCTACTCTTACACTGGTACTGTTATTTATTATTATTTTGAATCCACTAATTAATCATTAGCTTCCTTGAGAATAGACAGATGGCCAATGAAGGCCATACAAAGACAACAAATCCACAGCGACTTTAAGTTTACATTACATTTAAAAGAATATTTAATTAAAATATGCACAGAAAAATCTTTATTTTGTTAAATTTTGCATTTTAAAAAACATTCTGCAACTTCAGTTCAGCCTTTTTTTCGTTCCATACGAGTCAATGTGTGCCAACGCACTTGGTACATGGCAGGTCACATCATGGATTTCTATGGAAATGTTCACAAAATGTAAACAAAAACATCCATTTAATTCACACAGTTCTAAAATGTCAAAGCTGTGGTCAGAACAGTTTATCAGTTATGAATTGAAGTTTGCCTCATCTGCTTCTAAACAACATTTTAAGTAAAGAGTGCAGCTGCTTACTTAGCTGAAATATTAACTGGGTATAATTAAAACACAATATACAACAATATTATATTAGAATAATAAGTGCAATTACGATTCATTAACATAAACAATTGTGTAAGGTATATGTGGTATAACTATTTATGATTTAACTCCTTACATGGCCAGGGCCCACTGTTTTTATTACACACGTCTATAACTTAAGAATAGCGCAACAAGTTTGCGTTGAAGTTCTTGCAGTTACTGAATAATACGCCTTAGTATGTAATAAGCCTGGGATTTTAAGGGGCTGATGATTTTTGAACATGAGATATTTAACTAAGAAGCACAATATAATATAATTATATAAAAAAAAAAGATTGAACCTTTATAATGTATTACTCTTATTATACATTGTCATTGTATAAGAAAAACAAACATCTCCAAAATGGCAACTTTTCAAGAAAAGGCAAAAACTTTTTGTTTTTGTTTATGTAAATATATTTTATTCCAAGTGATTTTGGAGCATTTCTATTGGTCCATTCACCAATATATATATATATATATATATATATATATATATATATATATATATATATTTACATAATGTAAATCGTAGCTGCCATGTTAAAATTATGTAGTAAAATAAAAATGTAAAAAAAAATGGAGATGCATGTTTTTCTTTGGACAGTGATGGTATTTTTGGCAAGGTAATGTGTTCTTCTTTTCTTGCTGTTCTGCAATATATTATACACAGGATCAACACAACGTAGGGAGACTGATAAAAGAACAGGAGGCCCACTCAGATTTCTTACATCCACCCACTCAAATAAGGTAATGTTTAACTGTGGAAAATGTGACACCATCTGCAGTGCTTAATCTCCCAGTGTTGCATACGAAATGCTTTGGTATAGACTAACACAGGCCTGTGCACAACTTTTAACGCCCCTGGTCAAATGACGTTTTGTTGATTTCCTAAGTGGAAATATTTACACATCCTCTACAGGGAACATGCTTAGTTTACTCATTTTATAGCACAATTTCTGTTAATTTGCTGTGTTTGACACAATGGAAAGAAAATAAAAATATGTGTCGTAACTTTTGCACCAGCCAACTTTTGATGTTTTCATTTTCCCCAATATGTTAAATTCAGCACACAAACAGCAACTGTGCCTTAAAATGTGCAGAAGAGTGTTCCCTGTTGTGCTATAACCCCAACTGGCCATTGTTTATTCAAAATATATAAACACTTCAACAGTAAAATACAGGCACTTATAGTAGACCTTGAAATATTACATGGACACTTAAAATATTTAAAATGTAAATGTCCCCAGGTGCTCAGTCTTTTACACCTACCTATCTGCTTATATTAGACGCCTGGCATCCTTTCTTTGCAGCAAGGTCATTAAGACTTGGGCTCAGTTTCTGAGCTGCTGAGCTGATGTTAAGTGTTTATACTGGTTAAACTGCAGCTGAAATGCATTTTTGGTGATATGACTGGTGTAGAGCTGCACAGAATTGTGTAGAATTGAGGTCTAACTGCTGTCCCATAGACTGTTGTTGGGGTAGGAGAGTCGGAGCACATTACGTTGCAGTGCATGCTGGGGACTTTAGTGCAGCACACTCTGAAACGGGCTAATATTAATAGAAAATTAAAATAGTTTTGCGGGCCACATAGGATTGTGTGGTGGGCCTGATTTGGCCTGCGGGCCTTGTGTTTGACACATGGGCTTTAGAGGATGTGAACATATTTTCACTTAAGTCAACAAAACATGCAGTTGATTGGGGCGTAGATCTTTGCATACTATTATTTAGTCTTTGTAGGTTTAAGTTCCTTCCTCCTGCTTTGAATGAAAAAATTAAAGGAAAAAATTAAAAAAAAGCTCTTGCCTTTTTGACTTGTTTGACCCTCTTGGTGGGCATGTATAATATCCACAGCAATGCGGCCTTGGGATAAACACTGTTTGCTCTCCTCGGGAACATGATTAGACTGTCTGTTTTGATAAGTATATCTTGATAAGTATATCAAGTTTAATTCATGTTCAGTTCAGTTATTCATTTATTCAATGGTCAAATGTTCCGATTCGAGCTTCCATACAGCATTCAGTCATGAAATGAAGCACTCACACGCATTTCTTTCTTTTTTTGCTAATGATTTTTAATCTTTTCCAGATATTTTGGAAAGTACTGAGTGATGGCACAAAAAAAATGCAACATCTGACAGATCTAATTGCTCTCAATGATGTCATTGATCCAATAAATGTACTCGCAGACTTTGGTGTAGACACCAGGCTTATTCACTAGGGCACAGCCATCACCCCAGGACACAATACCCTGCTGCACACCATCGCACACGAGGGGGCCGCCAGAATCACCCTGGAGGGGTCAAGAAAAGGGGTTTAGTGATTAGGAAGAGCACAAAAGAGTAGCAAATAAATAGGATATTCTTTGGTTTTCTTGTGGATGTGGACCATTTATTAACCTTACTGTCATTTGTACACAATTAATTGTGTTTACATCGGATTTATTTTCTGCATCAGGTCAAATCAACACAAGTCTGAATTTTTTCGAATTTGTTTCGAAAGTCAAAAAATGGAAAAAACATAATATAAATATAAAGGATGACTTTGGCCCAGTCCCATTTCACCCCTTGCCCCTACCACTTAGCCCTTAGCCCTGTTTTGCGCGTTCACGTCTAGGGGTAGGGTGTCCCAATTTTGGTTGAGATAGAGGGGCAGGGCGAAGTGTTAGGGCTACATGACCCAGCACACTCCAAACAGAGTGTTACGAGAAAAAAAGAAACACTGGCAGGATGGCTGCATAAGCGACCAAAGAAACCCATAAATGTATTTTCTCTGTTAAAAATTACGATAACCAATGTATTATCTTAGTTTAATGTCGTTTCAATGTATTATGGTCGTTTTCTTCGAAATGGGTGATAATAAATAATTGCCCCCCTCTTTGAAGGCATATGATTCTCTAAATGTAACTAAAGCCCAGCAGTGAGGAGCTGAAGTTTACCCTCCTCTGCTGTCACTGCAGACTGGCAGGGTCGCCTACAGAGCAGCGCTAGTAGCTGTTAATGAAGTAATGCTCGTTTTATTTGAGGGTCCCATTTCATAGGGGAAGATTTCAACCACTACACCTTGTAACTTTAAAATCTGCACTTTTACAGTCTATCCACTTAAGAGTAAGACATAATAAAACAGATGTTTCAAGGTGTTTATAAGGGTTAATTTGCTGTTTATACATTCATGGAGACTTAGTGTTTATTGAATTACCTCATCACCTAAACGCTTTGGTGTATTAGGCCATTTAAAGGCAAAATGTGTTGTTCCACATTTACAGGATATAGAATTGTTTTGACATTTTTACAGCTGTTTTGGAAATTTCTAATAAAAAATATTGTAAAATATTACCGTCATGACTAGCAAACTGAAAAAAGTCCTGACGCTCTCATTACCTGGCAAGAGTCTTTGCCTCCCGCTAGGAATCCAGCACAGAACATGTTGGAGGAGATCTCACCAGGGTAACAGCTTGTGCAAGTGCTGTCACTCAGGATAGGAACGTCAAGGCATCTCAGCGTGGAAGGGTAGTTTGCTTTTGAGAGAAACATATAAGGCATAAACACTCTGGTCAGGAGCACAGAGTACAGTGAGACAGAGGGTTTGTTAAAGGCGAATTCTATGATTTCTTTCAAATTTCTGCATAATTCAATGATTACGATGTATACAAAGTCTTTCAAAGTGGTTTGATATGAAAATGCTCCATTCTAGAGAAACGTACTGAGTCAGAATGGGAAGCAGACATCTGATGTTTCATGCCTCTACAAGCTACCTCACAAAAACCTGCTGCATGAAATGGTTGTAAATACACTGCCAGATGCCTGAGACACTGTTTTACGAGAGTTCTGAGATAAGCTTTTTGCCCCAAACATATTTTTTAAACCATTCATGGCAGAGAGGTAAAATAGTCCCCAAACGTTCACAGATCATTTTAGATTTTCACAACAAATCACTGAAAGTCTATCAATTTAGTAAATGTGCTAATTTATCTTCCCACATACAGCACATCCCCATAATACAGCCAACAGTAAATAAGGCATGCAAATCTTCCTTTTTTAAATGATATAGCCTTTTATACTGGGCATGCATGGCAAGCAGTTTCACTTTAATTCTTATTAGCCATTTAGTAGCATATACAGAATAGTAGGCCATATTAACCAGGCTGATGATCGGTAGGCCTAATCACAATCTGTCTTTTTATCATGACACAATAGCCAACTTAGCTTTGTGTTCACTTTAAATAACCTCCACCTCAATTCAGGAATCAAGTAAATGGAACATCATGGACCACAAGACTTCACTTCACGGCATTTATTTATCAGTGATATCAGATAATCTTCAGAAGATAATGTAAGACAATGCAGGAGTGGAGAATTGGGAGAATTTCCAGTGGGCTGGTAGTGTTTAGGCTGGCTACTGTGAGCTACTGAATAAACTCACGCATATAAGAATAAAAAACTATCAGACAAACTATAAACGTTATATCCAAGTGTATATCTGTATATCTACATGACCAGTGTAACAATTAGTCATACATGAGTCATGTAAAGATATACAGCAGCAGCTACAACTGCAAAAAAACAAGGTGGTGTTTAGAAGACAAGACTGAAAAAGCTATGTAACGAAGATGAGGACATAGCCGAGCAGGTGGGCAGTGAGAATGATGACCTTAACCAACTTACTTAGCTAGCATTAGTTTATGGCATATTGACTGTCATGAGTATGTCACGATTAAGATAAAAAGCTTTTACCAGTTTTCATTATTTATCAAGAAATGAAGAAGATGGATGTGTTGATTTAGAAAAAGGCCCATAGCTTTCTATAAGATATTACACATCTATAATGAGATAAATTATAGACAGTTCTATGGAAACTGACCGCAAACATTTGGAGAGAAGACGGTCATTTGTTTGTAGTTTACATGGTTTGAGCAGAAAGTCAAACTTTAAATCATTAGAGATTAAGCAGTCCAACTTTCTAGCTTATGCATTTAAGGCCCGAAACTGTAACCAGCGGCAGCAAGGTGCCCAGCCTGCACCGCCGGCTGCCAGCAGAGGGCGACGGCAGCAAAGTGCCATGACTTCAGGGAACTCCAATTCCCAGAAGCCCTCGGGCTGATTAGGCCCAACCTGACACACCTGTGGACTCCTCTACTTAAGGCTGTGGCAAACAGCAGCGCTTTGTCACACCTTTGTAGAGGGGTGACCAGTACGGTACACAGCCCAGGTGTGTATTAAAACAAAAAGAAAAGAAAAGAGGGGTGGAAAAAACTAAAGAGAGTAACTGGCCCAAAACTACTCAAAACACGAATGCTTGAGCTACAAACGGCTCCAAGCCATACAAAAGGAGTTTGCTCCACTAAGAGCAAACAGGTGAAACATAAAGTCTGCCTTCCCTTCAGAATTACAGTGGAAGTGTCTTTTGTTTTTTGATTATCTTTTATTTCACGTTTCTAGTTTGGCTTTTGTTTGAGCTGCTTTCGGCGTTTCCTTTGTCTGCCCTTTTCCCGCCTTTTTATCTCCCATTCCTTGAGGAGTTGTACCCATTGTCACCTGTGCTTCCCAGTGGCGCAGTGATAATTCCATGGACCGCCAATCAGTACATCAGTGGTTTGAGCCTGGCCCTGGGTCACCCAACATGCCGAATTCACACTCCATTGCCTCAATAAACTTATTTAACACCCTTTTTCCTGGGTTTTCCTCTTTGTACTTGGGTCCGCCTCCCTGCCGTCCCATAACAGAAACATACTTCACGCAAGAACACGAACACAAATGACAGCACTTGGCCACTGCAGACACTCGGTCCTTTTGTACAAACTCACCGTGCGTTCTTACGTGACTGTGGCAGTTAAAACAATCAGTACTGAAGGGGGCGATAGAGTACAAATCAGAGAGGATCTACTGTCATCCCAACAGCCTCAACAGCTAAACGAGGACTGTAGAGGAGAATGAGCTGCCTAACCTCTTCTGTTGGAGTGGAAAGGCGATAATGTATCATTTATGTTTATGTAAGCCATCTTTGCGTGAGATTCAGCTGCTCATCTGCTGTGGCAGTTGAGAAAATGCGCTGGTGGTACAAACCCGCTTGGACAGGCTTGGCTGTCGTTATAGCGCCCCTTGCTGTAAACTCTCAGATAGCAACTCGTGCTTAGGCACTCAGGCCTAACTTATGCATTCTGAAAATAATAAAAGCATGAAAAGAACAAGTCTGTATTTTAGTCTCATTGCCTCTGTGCAACAGCAAACATTGTGTCAGATTGTTTACTGCCCCAGATGTTTAATATGGTTCCCTCATTTCAGTAAAGTCACAGAAACGCCCACCAGCATTGAGCAGAGACTTGCAGTGTGGCAGAATCCTGCGCTAAACCATGCAAGTAGACACGTAGCATCTCTTTCTAGCTAGCCTTTGTGGTTTACCTTTCCTGGTTGTTGTCATTATGCGACTTTTCCATGTTTGTTCTCCTCAGTATTTGTTTGTCCGTGGTGGTCTCCATTCATTACATATGGGACTACATTAGCAGTGATATCACTGTGGGCAATTTCCATCCACTGACTTTTCAAAGACAGTTGGTGCACATGGTTATTGGAGTGATTAAAATGTGAGACTGTATGATTTTGGTTTTGTATTGTGGCAACTGAGGGAATTTGAAGTAAGCGTACTTACTGCCACTGCTGAGAGTGTTTCCCCATCCGGCGACCAGACAATAGGTACCATCAGAGGGGAAGTTGCAGGGTGAGGGCAAAGGCACAGTGCTCACATATTCATTCAGGTTGGCAGCTGAGCTCAGCTTGATAAGCATGATGTCGTTGTCGTAGGTAGCATCATTGTAATCAGGGTGCGGAATGACCACGGATGAAGTGATGAACTGCTCAGTGCCCTCGTTGACATAAATGTTGTGCTCACCCAGACGCACCTCGAAAGAGCTATTAAAAGATGAGAGAGTTAATCTCATGTACCCAGTTTTGTTGAGCAAGAATAGTTTCACAGCATGTCCACATCATCTACAATACAGGCTGTAGTTGCAAACTTCTTAGAGACCATTTCTGTGCTGTAAAATTGTTGTTAGACAAAACCAAGAAAAATGTGTAAAATGTTGTTTCTACTGACTTTATTACTAGAATTGTGTTGGGGCCAACAGGTTTTTTGTTCTTTTTTAAGTATGAGGTATACAAGGTAGAGTAAGTGGCAGCTTCCATGTTGTTCCTTTATTGAAGGAACCAATTAGATGTGTACAGTGTACAGACCCCAGTGGCGGGCTTGAGCCCCTTCGTGTTTTGCCCTAAGTGGGTATAAGTGCCCTTTTGACTGGTGTGTATAATAACTGTATTTTAATCAACCCCTCCATTTTTCAAGATCTGAGTAAAGACGTTGGTTCTATATAGAATATATGAACACTCACAGAACGATTTGCAGGATTAAACAGTTCTTTGCATGGTGAAATGCAGATTGTTAAAATAAAGATAAAGAATGTTGTGTATAGTTTTCTATAGAACCTTTTTGAAAAAGGTTCTATATAGCACCAAAGGGGTTCTTCTACTGTTATAAGCTTGGCATGATATGACACAATATAGCAAAATAGCTTGTGCTTAAAATGACCAAGGATATGAACTAATAGAGTAAAAAAAAGGTCCATTTTGATTTCAGGTTAACTTTAAAATCTGTAGCTCTGTTTCTGAGAATTTTGGTGTTTTTTTGTTTCTTTCTCTTGTCGACTTTGGTGTTTTACAGACTCACGCCAAGTGAAGCTGGGGCTGCCAAATAGATACAATGAAAGAACTAAAAAAAAGAAAACTAAAATTATCAGAAACAGAAGTATAAATTTTAGAGAAAAACATGATGACAAAAATAGTACATTTTGTAAAATTGAAGTTTCTTTATTAGAAAATGTTGTTGGTACTCCAAAAATAGGACAAAATGAAACAATTCAATTTATGTGAAAGTTATATTTCAACTGGTAAACACTTAATGCTAAATTGATTTGCACATTTTAAATTTAAAACTCAAATATTAAATTTCGACAAGCACAAATTCAGCTTTTCTTGTAAGAAATTAATTTTCACTTGTAAATGTGTCATTTTCACATGTAAATTAAATTCTTTCATAAAAATCCACCGCTTGCAATAAAGTCAATTCAAACATGTTATTAGAATCTAAACATGTCAAATTACTCTTCACTTATTTGGATTACAAGCTAAACCTACTTTCAACACACAAGAGGGGAATATACAAAACAAGGACGTTGCTACAGTAAGTAAAGGCTGTTTTAGGTACAGTGCCAGTTAAATCTGCCAATGTAGGGTCCTGCTCAAGCAAGTCTTCCTCCTTGTGTACTCCAACAGCAGCTAGAAGGTTGCTGTGCTGCATGGTCCACACGGCAATACGTCTTTAAATGGTACATGGAATAGTTGCATCTTTTGTTTATACTAATGTGCACGTAAAATATACTGTATTGCCAAAAGTATTCGGTCGTCTGCCTTCACACGCATATGAACTTGAGTGAGATCCCATTCTTCATCCATAGGGTTTAATATGATGTCAGCCCACCTTTGCAGCTATAACAGCTTCCTCTTCTGGGAAGGCTTTCCACAAGGTTTAGGAGTGTGTTTATGGGAATTTTTGACCATTCTTCCAGAAGCGCATTTGTGAGGTCAGACACTGATGTTGGACAAGAAGGCCTGGCTCGCAGTCTCTGCTCTAATTCATCCCAAAGGTGTTCTTTTGGGTTGAGGTCAGGACTCTGTGCAGGCCAGTCAAGTTCTTCCACACCAAACTCGCTCATCCATTCTTTATGGACCTCGCTTTGTGCACTGGTGCGCAGTCATGGTGGAACAGGGCAAAACTCCCCAAACTGTTCCCACAAAGTTGGGAGCATGAAATTGTCCAAAATCTCTTGGTCTGCTGAAGCATTAAGAGTTCCTTTCACTGGAACTAAGGGGCCGAGCCCAACTCCTGAAAAACAGCCCCACACCATAATCCCCCCTCCACCAAACTTTACACTTGGCACAATGCAGTCAGACAAGTACCGTTCTCCTGGCAACCGCCAAACCCAGACTCGTTCATTGGATTGCCAGACGGAGAAGCGTGGTTCGTCACTCCAGAGAACACGTCTCCACTGCTCTAGAGTCCAGTGGCGGCGCTTTACACCACTGGATTTGACGCTTTGCATTGCGCTTGGTGATGTAAGGCTTGGATGCAGCTGCTCGGCCATGGAAACCCATTCCATGAAGCTCTCTACGCTGTTCCTGAGCTAATCTGAAGGCCACATGAAGTTTGGAGGTCTGTAGCGATCGACTCTGCAGAAAGTTGGCGACCTCTGTGCACTATGTGCCTCAGCATCCGCTGACCCCGCTCTGTCATTTTACGTAGCCGACCACTTCGTGGCTGAGTTGCTGTCGTTCCCAGTCGCTTCCACTTTGTTATAATACCACTGACAGTTGACTGTAGAATATTTAGTAGTGAGGAAATTTCACAACTGGACTTGTTGCACAAGTGGCATCCAATCACAGCACCACACTGGAATTCACTGAGCTCCTGAGAGCGACACATTCTTTCACTCATGTTTGTAGAAGCAGTCTGCATGCCTAGGTGCTTGGTTTTATACACCTGTGGACTGCCATGTCCACAAATTATTTATATTATTGTTTTCTATGTCTATTCTTATTACTGGTGTAATAGACGAGACTGGTCATAGTTGTTGGTCATAGTTAGTGTTGCTTCTGCTGTGGGATTGAAAGGGAGAGAGCATTAAAGTAAAATACATATTAACTAAAAAGAACTTTACTTACGACTGGTAGCAATGGGCAGCAGACAGGACCCACCATCTGGTAATCAGAGAGCCTCCGCAAATGTGATACCCAACATTCAGAGACACTATGTAGGGCAATGAGTGTGCTGGGCACTCGTCCCCTCCGACGATCTTATCATCATCATCAGCAGGGGCAGTGACTGTGTAGTGGAGAGAGGAAAGTGTTTTTTTCCTGAGCTCATTTTAAGAAAAAGGAAATGTTTCAGGTTCATTCAGCCAGGTACCGGGCCTTTCTGCACAGTGTGCTGCTGCTGCCGTGGGAAACAGGGAAGGGGTGAAGTGGATGATGGATGACGAAGCAGGCAGGAACTGTATCACTTCTTACCCCTTTGACTTAAATTGTCATGGTTTATAATATATATGATCTTTGGTCAAACGTCCAGCTCCAGTGTTCCATCATGTCCATTGAAGCAGTCACATTCAGACAACCAACAGTTCTCATCCTGGCATGTTTAGCCTGAGGACCAAAAAGCTCAGTTTTGGTCTCAGACCATAGATCCTTCTTCCAGCTGACTTCAGAGATGTCCACAGCTCCTGGCACACTGTAGCCGTGAGGTCATGGCAATGTTATTTTGCCCATTGGTGTATATTAATTATATGAATTTACAGCCCCATTTCCAAAAAAGCTGGGATGCTGTGCAAAATGTAAATAAAAACAAAATTAAATGATGTGCAAATAATTTGAACCCTATATTTAATTGAAAATAGTACAAAGACAACAAATCAAAAGTTGAAACTGAGAAATGTTATTGTTTTTTTGGAAAGTAATTTGTTTTATTAAGTTGGGATGGGGGCATGTTTACCACAGAATTTCATCACCTCTTCTTTTAACAACACTCTAAGCGTTTGGGAACTGAGGCGACTAAACTCTGTAGTTTTGAAAGAGAAATGTTTTCCCATTTTTGCTTAACATAGGATTTCAGCTGCTCAACAGTTCAGGGTCTCCTTTGCCGTATTTTTCATTTTATAATGTGCCAAATGTTTTCAGTGGTAACAGGTCTGGACTGCAGGCAGGCCAGTTTAGCACCCGGACTCTTTTAATATGGAGCAATTCTGCAGAATGTTGTTTGACATTGTCTTGCTGAAATAAGCAAGTCCTTCCCTGAAAAAGACGTCATCTGGATGGCAGCATATGTTTTCAAAACATGTATATATCATTCAGAATTAATGGTGCCTTCACAGATTTGCTCATCACCCATGCCATGCCCCCCTATACCATCATGAACACTGGCTTTTGAACTGTGCACTGATAACAAGCCTGGAGGACACAGTGTCCATGATTCCCCAAAAAAATTCAAATGTTGATTTGTCGGACCACAGGACACTTTTCCGCTTCCTCTCAGTCTGTTTTAAATGAGCTCGGGCCCAGAGAAGGTGGCAGCATTTCTGGATCCTGTTTATTTCTGGTTTCTTCTTTGCATTTTAGAGTTTTAACTTGCATTTGTGAATGCAGCAACAAACTGTTTTCACATACAGTGATTTCCTCTAAAGAATCATGTCTGTTTTTAATGCAGTGCCACCTGAGGGCCCAAAGATCATGGCTAGCAAATACTGTTTTTTTTGGCCTTGTCCCTTACATACAGAGATTTCTCCAGATTCTCTGAATCTTTTAATGTTATTATATACTGTAGATGATAAAAAGCAGAGGTTCTTTGCTGTTTTATGTTGAAATGTTATTCTTGAACTGTTGCACTGTTTGATCATGCAGTCTTTCACAGAGTGGTGAACCCCTCCTCATCTTTACTTCTGCAAGACTCCGCCTCTCTGGGATGCTCTTTTTTACACCCACTCATGTTACTGACCTGTTGCCAATCAACCACCAGGTGTTTTGTTTTAAGCATTACACAACTTTACCAGCCTTTTGTTCCCCCGTACCAACTTTTTTGGAACGTGTTGCTGGCATCAAATTCAAATATATTTTTCAAAAAACAAAATTTCTCAGTTTCAACATTTGATATGTTGTCTTTGAAGCATTTTCAATGAAATATAGGGTTTACATGATTCGCACATCATTGTATTTTGTTTTTTATTTACATTTTTCACAACATTCCAACTTTTTGGGGTAAATGTGTATTCACTTGCACTTTTTAAGTCTTGTTAATGAATAGCATATGTTACTTCACCTGCACTTAAAAACACATTTGTAAACATAAACTCTTGTTGAGCACACAGATGGCACCGATATCAGGTACCAGGCCAAAATCAGCAAAAAACTGTAGATCAGATAACAGAGGAAATTTTACTGTCTGTCTGTCTGTCTGAATAGTGAGGACAATTACAAATTATTCAGTACAGACATCATCACTGTGGGCACAAAACCTTTCCCTAATGTCCTCATATAGTAAAGTCAGAGAGTGTTGTATATAAAGCACAGCATGGTGCTGAAGTATTAAAGCTTTTAAGGTTTCCTACTGTTACTCAGCTTTGGCTCTTCTGTCCTTAAGAAAGATCAGAATAAATATAGAACATTATAGAGCAAACAGAAATGTGAGAATATGAAAACTTACATGTCACAGCAAAGAGAGCCAGTAAAATGATGCACTTCATGATTGGAGTAACTGCTGGATGATCAGCTGAAAACTCTGCCTAGAACCTCTACTCTTATACTGGTAGTGTTGTTTTATTATTATTATTAATCCACAAATTAATTATTAGCTTCCTTGAGAATGGACAGATGGCCAGTGAAGGCCATACAAAGACAACAGATTCACAGTGATATTAAGTTTACATCACATGTTTAACAAAATGCTGTTTAATGAAAATAAGCATAGGAATATCTTTGTTTATTTGACTGGCATTTTAATACCTGCATAAACATTTTGCAACTTTCACACATCAAGATCAAATTAGTCTTCATCATCTTGATTACCGTTGTGTTCTATTTAGTATACAGTGCTGTGAAAAAGTATTTGCCCCCTCCTGATTTCTATATCACACTACACTGCTTCAGATCTTCAAACAAAAACTCATCCAGGAGGTCACAAAAGAACCCATCTTAAGAAACTGAAAGCTTTCTCGCCTTAGATAAGGTCAGTGTTCATGATTCCACTATTAGAAAGAGAGTGGGCAAAAATGGTATCCATGGGACAGTTGAAAGGCAAATAACACCGCTAACCAAGAGGGACATAAAGGCTCCTCTCACATTTGCCAAAAGAACACCTAGATAACTCAACTTTTTCGGAATAATGCTCCGTGGACTGATGAGCTGAAAGTGGGACTTTTTGGAAGACGTCTGGTCCAAAGCTAACAAAGCATTTACTGTGTCAAATATGCAAAAATAGAGGAAATAAGGAGGGGGCAAATACTTTTTCATTCCACATCAACTCCTATGGGACCAGGCGGGTCACATCATGCATTTCTATGAAAAAATTTTTACAAATTGATTCAATGTTTGATTCGTACAATCGTGCAAAATATCAAAGCTGCGGTCCAAATGGTTTTTTAGATATGATTTTTTCTTAATTCTAGAAAATCCTTAACTTTAATCAACTGCTTACAGAATGAATGAACTAAATTATTATTATTATTATTACTATTATTATTATTATTATTATTAGTGTTAATATCATTATTATTATCATATTGAACTTGATGGATGGTGTGAAATATTGTTTTTCATTTCTATGTCTTATGTATCATATATGTATTATTAATGTCTGAACACAGCATCTGAATTAAGTTAATCACAATTAAAAATCCTCTTTGTAGGACTTTATGATCCTGTGCTTTCTCAACAAGAACTAATCCAATTACCTTCCTACCTTTTTACTGAATAAGGACAGTTCTGTCTCTTTATCATAAAAAAATCAGATTTCCTGTAGCTATTTCTAGTTTAATCATTTTTTTAATTTGCAATGTAAAAAAAGTTGAGCTTCGCATTATTGTTTAATTGAAAGATGAACTTTTTAAAACTGAAAATTCACTACAAAATCAAACTTGCACAGTTTTCTCTTAAATCAAATGTAGTTGATCAGCTGAGACACGTCTGATATCTTAAGTTTGCTTTTTAGTCTTCACTGGAGCCACTTACAGCTATCATGTAATGAAGGCTAATGAAGGCTGATAATGAAGGTTATATAGTCCAATGATATACATGCCTAGATGCCACGTTGGGTCCAGCCAAGCACGTAAACGGCGCTGCCATTTTGGGGAGGTCAACATCGCTGCTGGTCTGCATTCAGTACCGTTACAGAGTGGTAGTTTAAGAATGGTACTGTCCAAAATTATACTATTTCAAGAATATTGACTCAGAAAGTCAGATAGGATTATATAACGGAGGGGACGCAGCGATCCACACTCATGTTTGTGTGATGTTTATCTGTAGATATGGCCGTGTGGTTGGTGAAGCACAGAGAACCTGTTGATGTGATCGTTTTTCCTCTGGTTTTATATTAAGCTTATTTCATTTAATAGTCTATTCAGGGGGTCTTAACTTTATGTAGTAGTTATTTATTTACAATGATGGTTAATGCTTTGTAGGTAACTTATAGCACCTTCTTACACGAACCTGGAGTTGGCTTCTTATTTGCCAGCATCTTGTTCGAGTTTTCCCCTTCCACCTTAAATGGTGCAGCTTCAGGCACCAGAGAGTGACTGCTGCACCGTTTAAGGTGGAATGGGAAAACTCGAACAAGAAGCTGGAGAATACGAAGCCAACTTCTGCTTCGTCCTTCTTACTTTGTTTTGGGGGGTTTATTTTATTTTTATGTGTATTAATATTAGAAGTGATGGATTTCCTGATCATATTGTGTTTTTACTCATGCTAAACTCAGTTTTTACCATCAGGTGCAGACTGAATAGTTATCTGCTGGTCCTGATGGCTAATTAGCACGATCAGTTATTAAAGACATAAAAGCTACTGAGAGCAGTCCATACAGCCTAGATTAATCTGAGGATTATAACAAAACAAATTTGGTGAAAATCGGTTGAGTAATAAGGAAGTTGTGGCTGAATTAATCCTGAGACTCTTCGTCTCTTAATACAAGTGAATTTGTTCACAAGCGGATCTTGACCGCTCCAACATGGCGGACGCTCAGACGTCTCGCCTCAGATAGAGAACAACAGACAACGCGGTATTTAGGGATGTACATCTATGGGTAAATGGCAGCGCTGCTCTTGAGCAGAACCTGATAAATCCGTTCAGCCAATCAACGCGCAGTATTCGGGTCAGGTGACGCAACACTGCCACCAACTGTTTTAGGCCGAATCTCAAACAGCAGCCATTTGAGATTCAGCCATAGGATTTTCCGAGGTATGATCTTATAGATGTTTATTATTAATATTGCCCATTAATGAGCTGTTTTTATTGCAATTTTCAGCACATTACTGACTTGTTTTATGTTAAAGAATGTTAACACAAAGAATCTTAAAAAATATTTAAATATTTACCAAGCTGACTTGGAGATTTATCATAGGAAATAAACTGTACGAACAAAATAAAAGCACATGATATTACATGATGAACTATAAGGAGCAAGGTTTGCATTAAACCATTTACAGTTCAAGGTTAGATGATTATATAAGGCTTCCTAGTTTATCTGTTTCTAACACAGTAGTTTAGAACCCCTGAAGGGATCTGTGTAGTTTGTTACTGTGAAATCAAGTCCATTTTGGGTTTAGCATTTAAAACAACAGATAACTAGATTAAAATAACTGGTAGATTATTCAATTAATAATATAATTTTTAACAACAGCCTTACTACCCATTGGCTCCTACTGGATGCTTGCATTAAACTACAGTAGCTGATTTTAAGTTGAATAAAGAGCTGCTATATCTGCTACTCTAAAACAACAAAGATGAAAACAGTGAAAGGACACAGTACCTGTTTAGCTTGGATTAGTTAGCCAGTCAGCTAACTGCCGTTGTAAATTGGGAAATTGATGTTTCTTGTGTGTTCTGGTAACGTTCTCCACTAGACTGGACGTCTCTAAACACATCAGGGGTCAAGTGTTTTGTGGCTGGGAGCTGATCTGTTTTGATTGGCTTTCAGAAATGAATCTTATAAAAATTTAACTGTATTTTCTTCTAGAGCTGAAACTCTTTTGCAGCTTATGGCAACATTTTTGCTTTTTCCCAATGTTTTTTTCCCCCAATATGTTAAACGCAGCAAATAAAGAGTCATATTAAAATGAAAACGTGCAGAAGTGTGTTCACTGTAGAGGATGTGTACTTTATTATTACTTAGAAGATCAAAAATACTTGTAAAAATCCAATCTGATACATTATGATAATACGTTTACCACTAAACTCGGCAAAGGTTTAGATGTTCTCATCTAAATGGTCTCTACTCAGTGGTCAAGGACGACGCCTCTAAAGGAAAAATACAGATTTGTCAGAAAATACAAAAATACTGACTTATCAGATTTACACCCCCAGGAACATTACTCATATGGGAACCAACATCTGACATCAGATATTGTGCTAAATTGGGGGAAGTACACTTTGTTTAAAAACATTTGTGTATAATCCATATTTTTTATTCCTTTTCCTTTATTATTTAATTAAATTCTGTCTAAGAAATCAATGCAAACTAGGCCAGAGAAGCACCTCCAGATTAAACACTGTACTTCTGTACATAATTATTGATTTATTCTTATTACAAAAGGTCATTGTTATTGTTATCAGACTGTTACTGAACTCTTACTGAATGGGAATTTACATGGCAGTAATCTGGATCTCCCTGCACAAAAGTGTATTGTAGATTCGATAAAACAAATGGCATGTTTTAAGCCTGAAAGTGAGACATTCCCTCAAGCATTGGGGTAAATAGTAACACCCCCAGTTTCACCAATCAGAAATAAGCTACGGGGTGATATCAATACTGTGCACTCCCACCCTCTTCCTGAGCTCACAGGAGAAGGCTGAAGACTGTGTGAAACAGTGACGTGTTTGTGAGGCAAAACCTGATTTTGAGGAAGAAAGTAAAAATTCATTTTTAGATTATAACTCAGTTAGCATTTATAATAACAGAGGTTCAAAGCTGGAACTAGAACGGCCTAATCAGCAGTTTAAATTGTGTGCTAGTCTCAAATATGTGTTTAAAAAAAATCTGTCCAAGAAAACATAATCGGTTTCACTCTCTCTGGGTGCATAAGGTGATCCCCCCCCTTCCCCATTACTCAGTGTGATGCTAGCTAACATGGGTGTCTATTAGTTGATGTAACACAGTTGTTAGTTTGTGTTCTCCTCCAAGCATGTTATGCTGTCCGACAACATTGCGTTAGCGGCCATTCAAAAAGATGCAATGGTTGGCCTCACGTGTCTTGGAGGAAGCATGTCTTCAGCCTCCTAGCTTGGTAGCATTGATTGGGGGACACCTAGTTAGAGGGTGGAACTGGAAATTGGGAACTGGGGAGAAAATTGGATAAAAATTGTGAAGAAAATTGGTTTAAAACGGTCTAGTTATGTCATGACGGAGCAAAACAGGGTGGGTTGTAACACACAATATAGTAGAACCACTCAGATTTCCAACATTAACCTACTCAAGTAAAGAAAAATTTTAACTTTGTCCGACCCCAGGCATGTCAAACTGGGGACCTTCCGGGTCAAAGTGCTGCGAACATTAGCGTTTACCCTCATCTAACGCTCTGAATTCAGTTCATGAAGTTCGTGCTAATTAGCTGATGAGCTGAATCAGATGTGTTTTAATAAGGCAGTGTGCTGAAGTCTGCAGTGTTTTGTCCCGCAGGGACTGGAGCCTGACACGTGTTTTACATCATCTGCAGCTTCTCTCTTAAACTAACCTGCAGCTACACAATGAGTGTGTTTACATGCACACCAATAATTCGATCATTATCAGATTTTGGCAGTTTCCAGTTGTTCATGTAAACAGCATACTCCCATTTCTTAGACTGGATTAAGGTTTATCAGATTTCAATAAATACGATAAAAAAGCTGGATTTTAGCTCAGTATTTGGGTTTTCTAGAAATTGAATCGAATTGAACGTAGAGCTGCGTTCAAACAAAGCATTTACAAGATGACGACAAAACATTTTTGTGGTAGATTCATTTTTGTCTTTAAAGTGACTTTAAAAAAGAAGCCATGGTATGAAGATTGAATTTTATGTCTCATCCATCTTGTTCTGCGAGTTTATTGGCGGGTTGCCAATATGCCGGGTCTGATTATTGCTTGACTTATGCAGACCCAGAGTTTTTCTGTTAACTCATTATCCAAGTGTATGTAAAGGCATTAAACAATTTACTGACAAAATCTGAGTTTTCGGATTATCAAGTGCATGTAAATGCACTGTGTTACGTGTTTAAAATGTTTTGGTAATAGGTTTGATATCAGTGTTTCAAAGGGAAAATAAACAAAAAAGCCTCTCACCTTTTGACATTAGACCATACAAGAGCCCTCTTGGTCAGCGTGTATACTATTTGCAGTAATGCAGGTTGTTTAGGCTACTTTGGGATGAACACTGTTTGCCTCTAGAACAGATTGTCCGACCCATTATACTTACACTCACACTTTGATGCTCAAAGAAATTTTAATATTAGGCTTCCTTTTCATCATTACTGTTTATACATGCAGATCTCAGATCAGTGTAGCTGTTAAAGGGCTGAGAGACAGAAGTGCTTTTTTTCTAGGGTTAATGAAGCATCCTTGACAGTCTTGAACACTAGAAAAGTGGTGGTGGCTCAGTCAGGTAAAGTAAAGGAACATTAAAGATGCTGACTGTATATGGACTGCATTTCCCATGAGTCTATACAGAGGGACATGGATTTAAATCAAAGTGGGGCTAGTGCCCAGGGGACAGATGACAGATGACATAAAGCCCACAAAACACCAAAAATAAGCAGAAATTTAATTGTGAACAGATTTGAGAATAAATCATTTCAGTTACATTACATTTTTTTCCAGTGCTGTTCAAAGTGCACATAAAAATATAGCAATTTATTGAAGTTATTTTGGAAGTCTAATTGTTTTTCTACTTTTTTTGTCACAGTGTGGGGAGACAGTGATCCATCCATGGGGATTTAGGTGATTAATACATTAACACATATTTTTCTTCTTTTGCTAGAAATTTTAATCTTTTTTAAGATCGTGTGGAAATTACTGAGTGATGGCATAACATGCAACATCTGAAGGATCTAACTGCTGAACATGGTGTTGGTGATCCAGGAAACGTAGTTGTAAACTTTGGTATAGACATCAGGCTTATTCCTTAAGGCACAGCCATAAACCCAGGACATAATACCCTGCAGTTGACCATTGCACACAAGGGGGCTGCCAGAATCTCCCTGGAGGGGTCAAGAAAAGGCATTTACTGATTACTGAGAGCACAAAAGAGGAAGAAGGCCGTTTATTGCAGGAGCAGGCCATTTATTAACTCTTGGAAATAATTACTGTCATTTGGCTGTACCACAATTTGGCTTTTTTAAATATAATTACATAAGGACACAAGTAAATTTTAATTAATGTAATTAATTGTGTAATTATGCCAGGTCAAGTCTGCATTTTAGACTTTTTCTGTTTGATTTAATGTGAAGAAATGGTAAAAATGTAAAAGATTGTTTTACCTCCACAAAACAAGGCAATAACTTTTATCATATTTTAATCCTAATAATCTTCAAGTTACAAACACAGATTTGGTGCCAGGTGAAAGTTTAAAAACTACACTTTTGACAGTATCTCCACTTGTTTGCATGAGTCAGAAGTAAAAAATAATTCAAAGAAGCATTTCAAGGCATTTTAAGGGTTAATTAGCGATTTATAGATAGAAAACTGATATTTTCTATGGTATAATATATACTATATTTTCTATTGTATAACATATACAAGCCCGATCCAAAAAAGTTGGGACAGTAGGAAAAACATAAATAAAAATAGCAAAGGTTATCAAATCCTTTTTGGCCTGTATTAGTTTAAAACACTACAAAAAGACAAGATATTAATGTTTTAACTAATTATCTTTGCTCAGTAATTGTTTGGGAACTGAGAAAACTGATTGCTGTGGTGAATTTTTTTACCATGCTTGCTTATTATAACACTTTAGCTGCAAAACAGTACAGGGTCTCCTTTGGTATATATTGCTCTTCACAATGTGCCACACGCTTTCAACAGGGGACAGGTCTGGACCGCACTCTCTTATCGTTAAGCCTGCTGTTGTAACACGTGCAGAATGTGGCTGGGCATTGTCTTGCTGAAATAATCAGGGATGTCTGTGAAAAAGATGTCATCTAGATGGCAGCATATGTTGCTCCAAAATGGGTATGTACCCCTCAGCATTAATGGTGCCTTGATAGATATGCAAGTTACCCATACCACTGGCTCTAACACAGAGCCCAGAGAAGTCAGAGGCGTTTCTGGATGTTGTTGATATATGGCTTCTGCTTTGCATGGTTAACTTGCATTTGTAGATGCAGTGACAAATTGTGTTTACTAATAAGGGTTTTCTGAAATGTTTCTGAGCTCATGTGGTTATATTTATCAGGAAAAGATGTTGATTTTTAATGCAGTGCCGTCTGAGAGAATCAAGTGTCATAGACGTTCAGGATTGGTTTTCGAAATTGGAAAATTTAGTCAGTAGTATTCTTGGTTGAACCATGATGCTCTTGTTACCTGGCAGGTGCCTTTGCCTCCCTCCATGAAGCCAGCACAGAACATGTTGGAGGTGATCTGAACAGGGTAGGCACTTTTGCAAGTGCTATCACTCAGGATAGGGACATCCAGGCATCTCAGAGTGGAAGGGTAGCTTGCTTTTGACAGAAACATATAAAGCATAATCATACTGGTCGGGAGAACACAGTACAGCGAAAAACCACAATTTCTTCAAATAAATTCGGCATAATTCTATCATTAGGATAAACAAAGTCTTTCAGAGTGGTTTGATATGAAATGTTTCATCAAGCAGCTTCATTTCAAATCTTTCTGCCACTCAAAATATTAGGTTTAGTCAGCCTGATGATTGATAGGCCAATCTAATTTAAGCCTAAAATTGCCAAACTGACTGATTAGCTCTCTTGCAGTAGATACTTAGTGGTTCCCAAGTGACAACAGATGCAGCTTGAGCTCAGATAAACAAACATTACCCACCACTGCCCTCTAAAAGTGTAATAGAACCATTGTTTTTTTTCAGAACTTTTCTTGTTTTACATAAGATTCATGATACGTCTTAATAAATGTGTCCAGCTTTCTCTTATTTACATGTATTAGCCTCAATCCAAATGATAAAAACACTCCCAATTTGTATTCTGTTGTGTGAACATATGATTGTGAAAGATGAAACTGTGAAAGATAATTACGATCAGCTCAAATAATTGCGATTGGGCGATTATATGATAGTTGAGACAGGTCTCATTATTGGTTGATAGGGCATGACTGTTTAGTTGGCCCTCAGATGCTGGGCCTGCGTTTGAATTCGCTGAAGTTTAAATTAGCCTATGAAAATATCTGTATACTCTTCAGATTATAACTATGTAAAGATGTTGTTCTGACACTTACCCTGTAGCAAGACTGAAGCAATTTACCTCCACCATGACTTTGAAGAGAGTCATTGCACACGGCTTTCAGAATTAACATTCAGAACAGTATGTTTATGAATGGGTTTTGCACTGCAGTATCTAAGGGAATTAAAAGTAAGCATACTTACTGCCACTGCTGAGAGTGTTTCCCCATCCAGAGACCAGGCACCTGGTACCAGCAGAGGGAAAGCTGCTAGGCAAGGACACAGGGCTCACATAGCTGTTGATAGTGGCAGCTGAGCTCAGCTTGATAAGCATGATGTCGTTGTTGAGGGTGTTGCTGTTGTAACTGGGGTGCCTGAAGACCTTGGAGGAAGAGATGAACTGCTCAGTGCCCTCGTTGCTATTAATGTTGTACTTACCCAGATGCACCTGGATTGACCTGTTAAAAGATAAGATAGTATTAAGGAAATCAATCAATCAATGAATCAACCTTTATTTAAATTCGGAATACATTGAGGGAGACCCTAACTTACAATTTAGCCGAGCAGTACAGAAATCAGGAATTGAGAAGTAAAAATAAATCAAATGTTACAATAAAATAATAAAAATCATAACAGTAAAATTTAATAAGAAGGAGGTGCCAATAAACCGTTAAATCAATAAACGATTCAAATTACAATATACAACCCATTTCCAAAAAAGTTGGGACGCTGTGCAGAATGTAAATAAAAGTAGAATGCAATGATGTGCAAATCAAGCAAACCATATTTTTAAAGGAAAATGCTACAAAGACAACATATCAAATGTTGAAACTGAGAAATTTGACTGTTTTTTGAAAAATATATTTCCATTTTGAATTTGATGCCAACCACACATTCCAAAAAAGTTGGGACGGGGGCCTGTTTACCACTGTGTTTTATCACCTCTTCTTTTAGCAACACTTTGTAAGTGTTTGGGAACTGAGGAGATCAATTGCTGTAGCTTTGAAAGTGAGATGTTTTCCCATTTTTGTTTGATTTCAGCTGCTCAACAGTTTGGGGTCTCCTTTGTCATATTTTTAATTTCATAATGCGCCAAATGTTTTCAGTGGGTGACAGGTCTGGACTGCAGGCAGGCCAGTTTAGCACCCGGACTGTTTTAATGCGGAGCAATGCTGTTGTAATACATGCAGAATGTGGTTTGACATTGTCTTGCTGAAATCAAAGTCTTCTCTGAAAAAGACGTTGTCTGGATGGCAGCATATGTTGCCAAAACATGTATATATCGTTGAGAATTAATGGTGCCTTCACAGATGTGCACGTCACCCATGCCATGTGCACTAATGCACCCCTATACCATCATGAATACTGGCTTTTGAACTGTGCACTGATAACAAGCTGAGTGGTCTTTAGCTCGGAGGACACAGTGTCCATGATTTCCAAAGAGAATTTCAAATCTTAATTAGTCAGACATACAGGACACTTTTCTCTTCCCCTCAGTCCATTTTAAATGAGGTCAGGTCCAGAAAAGGCGGCAGTGTTTCTGAATTCCTGTTTTGTATATGGTTTCTTCTTTGCGTTTTAGAGATTTAACTTGCATTTGTGGATGCAGCGACGAACTGTTTTCACAGACAGTGGTTTTCAGAAGTGTTCCTGAGCCCATGCAGTGATTTCCACTACAGAATCATGTCTGTTTTAAATGCAGTGCTGCCTGAGGGCCTGAAGATCATGGCCAGCAAATACTGGTTTTTGTTTTTTTCAAGAGAGTGATGGCTTGTGGGAAGAAGCTCTTTTGTAGCCTGGATGTCCTGATCCTCATCTGGCTGAAGCGCTAGCCTGAGGGAAGGAGCCAGAATAGGTGGTGTCCGGGGTGGGACAAGTCAGTGGAGATCTTCTCTGCATGCTTCCTGGTTCTGGAGGCATGCAGTTCCAGCAATGTGGGCAACTTAACCCCAATTGTCCTCTCTGCAGACCTGATGATGCGTTGCAGTCTGTGGAGGTCATGCTTGGTGGCTAAACTGCCCCACACTGTGATGGATGTGGTGATGACAGACTGTATGATGGCTGTGTAGAACTGCACCATCAGCTCCTGAGGCAGGTTGAACTTCCTCAGCTGACGCAGGAAGAACATCCTCTGCTGGGCTCTGTTGCTGTCCCACTTCAGGTCCCTGGTGATTGTTGTGCCCAGGAACTTGCAGGACTCTACTGCCACCACAGTTCTGTCCAGGATGGTGAGTGTTGAAAGGGGCTGTAGGGCTCCTCCTGAAGTCCACTGTCATCTCCATTGTTTTTCGCTGTGTTCAGTACCAGGTTGTTGTGGCTGTTGTTGTGACCTCCTGATCAACCACTTGTCTGTAAGCAGACTCATCACCGTCTCGGACGAGACCAATGACTGTAGTGTCATCTGCATACTTCAGGCTTTTGACTGAGGGGTCCGTGGAGGTACAGTCGTTCGTGTACAGTGAGCAGAGCAATTTATGCAGTCGAGATTCTCACATTTGGGGAATTCGCAAGGGTCAGCACAACCGAAGTGCAATGGCCGAGCCTCGCCCTGGGTGAACCACCTTCATGATCATGGTGTCATCCCTGCCAGGTTAGTATATATCAATCAAATAAAGATTAAACGGAAAGAACTTACGACTGGTAGCAATGGGCAGCAGACAGGACCCACAAGCTGCTGATCAGAGAGCCTCTGCAAAAGTAATACCCAACAAACAGAGACGCCTGGTAGGGCACTGAGTGTGCTGGGCACTCGTATCCTCCAACGATCTTCTCATTGTCTTCAAAAGGGACAGTGACTGTGTAGCGAAGAGAGAAAGGGTCGCTATGGAGAGCTACATGTGCATCTATCTGTAAGCTTGGACATGTGTCTCGTTGCCTTAATAACAGCATTAGTCTTGTCAGTTAAGGAGTACACCAGTCTCTCGAAATAGTTCCTATCCGTTCTAGTTCACTCTTCCAAAAACTGGCTGCGCATTTCAGCCAGAACCTGCTGTTCCAGACTGGGAATGGAGATTGAGGTCTGGTGATTTTGCTGGTCAGTCAAATCAAAAAGGACTGAAGCAAGAGCTGCCATGTAAATATTTGAAGAGTTCATTTGTGCACAATTCCATACTGGACATAAAGTGCAGTATTTGTGTGTTAAAGCCAAAATGCCATAACTCACGAAGTGCACTATATAGGGAGCAGTGGGCCTTTTGAGATTTAGGATTTCCTTAAATTTGATTTTGAATTTGAATTTTAAATACTGCACATAAAAGAAACTTGGATCCATTATATGGCTTTGTTTAACTCTAAAACATGAAATAGCTGTTAGAGTTATCTGCTTTTGCCAAAAAACATTTTTTTTTGTATTATGTTGAGTTATTTTCACTGAAACAAAACAACCCAACAGCAGTTTGGTTTATATTATCTGGAATACACAATAAAAAAAAAACATTATTTATGAAAATTCATTAAAATGAAGTTTTTTAGTTCCCATTCTGGAATGTGGGAGTGTAAATGTCGAGTTCTGCTCAAACATGAAGTGCAGAGGGTAGAGGACAATGGACGATCTCACGAGAGTTGTGTAATCCTTTCAGGGCTCATGCTGTCATTAAGGCAAAGGGATGCTTAACTAAGTATTAGAGAAGCAATGACACATGCAAGTTTATATTAATTATACACCAATCGGGCATAACATTATGACTTGTTTCTGGGCTCATTGTCCATTTTATCAGCTCCACTTACTATATAGGTGCACTTTGTAGTTACAGACTGTAGTCCATCTGTTTCTCTGAATACTTTGTTAGCCCCCTTTTACCCTGTTCTTCAGTGGTCAGGACCCCCATAGACCCTCACAGAGCAGGTACTATTTGGGGTGCTAGATCATTCTCAGCACTGCAGTAACACTGTCGTGGTGGTGGTGTGTTAGTGTGTGTTGTGCTGGTACGAGTGGATCAGACACAGCAGTGCTGCTGGAGTTTTTAAACACTGTGTCCACTCACTGTCCACTGTATTAGACACTCCTACCTTGTCAGTCCACCTTGTAGATGTAAAGTCAGAGACGACACCACCACCACATCAGGGTTACTGCAGTGCTGAGAATGATCCAGCACCCAAATAGTACCTGCTCTGTGAGGGTCCATGGGGGTCCTGACCACTGAAGAACAGGGTAAAAGGGGGCTAACAAAGTATGCAGAGAAACAGATGGACTACAGTCTGTAATTGTAGAACTACAAAGTGCACCTATATAGTAAGTGGAGCTGATAAAATGGACAATGAGTGTAGAAACAAGGAGGTGGTCATAATGTTATGCCTGATTGGTGTGCACATTTAGACTACCAATCAAAAGTTTGGATCACTGTGCAAAAGTTTGTAATCAATGTTTTGAATAAAACATATAATAATGTGCTTAAGCTTATTCTAATACACTAATAAATATATACATCTGTACATAAATAAATGTGTAAATCTGACATCTTTCGAATAATAATTCTCGAAAAGATTGATTTAATCAATCCTGGCGAGGAACTACATTCTTCTTTGTATTTACATCAGAAATATTTTTGTTAACATAATAATGTTGGCAGTAAATATTTGCATACAATTCCATTTCCAAAAACGTTTGGACGTTGTGCAAAACGTACTTAAAAAGAGAATGCCATGATGTGCAAATCATTTAAACTCTATATTTTATATGAAAATTGTAGAAAGACATATCAAATGTTGAAATTGAGAACTTCTTTGTTTTTTGAAAAATATTTAGAATTTGATGCCAGCAACACATTTCTAAGAAGTTGGGATGGGTCATGTTTGCCACTGTGTTTCTAACAAAAACAACTGATGTAGCTTTGAACGTCAAATATTTTCCCATTTTGCTTAGACATAGATTTCAGCTGCTCAACAGTTCAGGGTCTCCTCTGTCATATTTTCATTTCATAATGCGCCAAATGTTTTGAGTGGGTGACAGGACGGGACTGCAGAATGTGGTTTGGCATTGTCTTGCTTAAGTAAGCAAAAATGTGTCTCAATGGCTCCAAAATGTGTGTATATCATTTAGCATTAATGGTGCCTTCACAGATGTGCCAGTCACCCATACCATGTGCACTAATGCCCCCCCATTCCATTACGGATGCTGGCTTTTTAACTGTGTGCTGATAAAACACTGGATGGTCCTTTTCCTCTTTAGCCCAGAAGACATGGTGTCCATGATTTCCAAAAACAATTTCTAATTTTGGTTCGTCAAAACACAGGAAACTTTTCCACCTCACCTCAGTCCCAGAGAATGAACTCAGGCCCAGAGAAGGTGGCGGTGTTTCTGGATCTTACTTATATATTTTTTTCTTTGCATAGTTTAACTTGCATTTGTAGATGCAGCAATGAATTGTGTTCACAGACTATGGTTTTCAGAAGTGTTCCTGAGCCCATGCAGTGATTTCCACTACAAAATCGTGCCTGTTTTTTATGCAGTGCCGCTTGAGGGCCTGAAGATCACAGCCAGCCAGTATTGCTTTTCGGCCTTGTAACTTGCATACAGAGATTTCTCTGGATTCTCTGGATTATCTTTTGATGCCAATGCTAGATGCTGAAAGTTCTTTGCTGTTTTACATAAAAAAAATTACATTTGCCCATGCAGTCTTTCACCAATTGGTGAACTCCTCCTCATCCTTACTTCTGAAAGACTCAGCCTCTCTGGGATGCTCTTTTTTATATCCAGTCATGTTACTGACCTGTTGTCAATTAACCTAATTAGTTGTTTTTTCTGTTTTTTTAACATTACACAACTTTGCCAGTCTTTTGTTGCCCCTGTCCCAACTTTTTTGAAATGCGTTGCTGCCATCAAATTCAAAATGGGCACATATTTTTGAACAATAATAAAAAAAACAAAATTTCTCAGTTTCATCATTTAATATGTCGTCTTTGTACTATTTTCCGTTAAATATAGGGCATAAATGATTTGCCCATCATTGCATCCTGTTTTCATTCACATTTTGCACAACATCCCAACATTTTTGTAAATGGGGTTTGTACATTTGTATACATTTTTCTAAAAATGTCAAATTTAACCTTGATTGAAGAAAGATTCAATCAGAGCTCATCTATGATATGTTCAGAGGAAACAGGCCAACCAGACAGGTTGGTGGGACAAAACCATAGGCTAAACATGAACGCAGGAGAATGTGGCAAAAACACTCCTAACAGCAAAATTATATTTATTGTTTTTCTGATTTCCAAGAATTGCAAAAGGTAGGCGACAGAGGGACCTGAAGTGTCATATCTTGTGTCATATCTATCATTATATATTTCATGCCTTTTAAAAAACATCTGTAGCCTACTTTTCTCATGTTACTTATCTTGTCCACCGCAGTGGCAAAAGCTGCAACAACAACCTAGAAAACTTCTAAATAAACAGCTTCATTCTGTTCAAATATGTGTATATTGTCACTACCGAAACATTTGGTAGTATAAGTGTAACAAAAGTTTTGGTAGTGTTATGATTGTTGTGGTAGTGACAAAATGAAATGTTGAATTATTCGTTTTAATAAAATAAACATGATGAATGTGTGGAGTCATTCAAAGCTAAAGTTCAAGTAACTTAAAAATCTGAAATGTGTTTTTAACTCTGACTTTGAGCCAATTTGGTAGAATGATCCATCTAAAGAACAGCATGGTGCTGAAGGTTAAAGCTTTTGTCTTTTCCAATTATTGCTCAGCTTGACTTCTTTGTACTTTTTTGTGCTGTCCTAAAGAAATAATAAAATAAATCATAACAAATATAGAATGTTATAGATAAAACAGAAATAATAGGGAAACTTACATGCCTCAGCAAAGAGAGCCAGCAAAATGATGCACTTCATGATCATAGTAACTACTGGATGATCAGCTAAAAAGCTCTGCCTTGAACCTCTACTCTTACACTGGTAGTGGTTTTTTGATTATTATTATTAATCCACCAATTAATCATTAGCTTTCTTGAGAATGAACAGATGGCCAGTGAAGGCCATACAAAAAAAAAAGGAAAAACAAAAAACAAAAAAGCAGTTTCAGTTCATCAAGATCAAATTTATCTTCACCTTCATCTCGGTTATCAGTCTGTTTTACTGACAGCCTTTAAGTCTAGTATACAGAGCTGTGAAATAGTATCTGCTCCCTCCTGATTTCTTCTACTTTTGCATATTATTCACACTTAATAGTTTCAGATCTTCAAATAAAATTGAATATAAGACAAGGACAACCAGAGAAAACCCAAATTAAAGGTTTAAATGATAACTTCATTTATTGAAGGGAAAAATTATCCAACACCAACTAGCCATGTGTGAAAAAGTAACTGCCCCCTCACTACTCAATAAAATAATTAAACAAATTTTGTTGATAACTGGGCTCAATTAAACTAGACACGTCCAGGCTTGATCACTGCCCGACCTGTTGAATCTAAATTTCACTTAAATAGAACCTTTTAACAACGTGAAACAGGCTAAAAGGACTCAACACGCAGCACACTGTGTCACACTCTAAAGATATTTCAGAAGAGATTAGAAAGAAGGTTATTCAAATATATTGACAATGAAAGTGAACAGAGCCATTTCTTAGGCTCTGGGGCTCCAGCAAACCACAGTGAGAGACATTATCTCCAAATGGGGAAAACATGGAACAGCAATGGAATAATCTTCCCAGAAGTGGGCAGTCTAGCAAAATTCCTCAGCAAAGGTCAGCATTCATAATTTCATCATTAGAAAGACACTGGACAAAAATGGTATCCATGGGAGAACTGCAAGTCAAAAACCACTGCTAACCAAGAGGAACATAAAGCCTCCTCTCACATTTGCCAGAAAACACCCTGATATCCTCCAAGCCTTCTGGAATGATAATTTGTGGACTGTTGAGTCGAAAGTGAAAATTTGTGGAATACTGGGTCAGACGCAATCACATCAGACATAAAGCTGACACAGCATTTTACAATAAGAACATCACACCAACAGTGAAACATGGTGGTGGTAGTATGATGGTATGGATATTCTTTGCTGCTTCAGTGCCTGGGCGAATTCCCAGAATTCACAGAAGCATGAATTCTGCTCTGTGCCAGAGATCTCCAGTCTCCAGTCGTTAGTCCATGATTTGAAGTGCAACTGCACAAGAGCAAGTCCACCTCTGAATAGCTCAGAAGAAAGATCACGGCTCTTGAATGGCCTAGTCAAAGTCCTGACTTAAACCTCATTGAGATGCTGTGGTAGGTCAAACTCCAGATGTGGCTGAATTAAAGCTTCTCCAAATAAGTGTGGGCCAAATTACAGTATACAGTGATGTAAAAGACTTATCTCCAGGTATAGGACGTGTTTGGTTGCAGATGTTGCTGCTAAAAGTGACACAACCAGTTATTAAAATTAGGGGGAAATGACTTTTTTCAGATGGGTCATATGGTTGTTGCGATTTTTTTTTCCTTTAATAAATGAAATGATCATGAACTGTGTTTTGTGTGTCTTCATGTTCTCCTTGCCTTATATTACATTTTGTATGAGGATCTGAAACCATTTGCTGTGGCAGATATGCAAAAATAAAGGAACTCAAGAGGGGACAAATATGTTTTCACGGTATTGTATGAGCCATTTCATGCCAACACACCTGGGACCTGGCAAGTCACACCATGGAATAATATTTCACTTGGGGGATGGGGTTTATATATCTTGTTTGTCATTTACAACCCCATTTCCAAAAAAAAGTTGGGACGCTGTGCAAAATGCAAATAAAACCAAAATGTAATGATGTGCAAATCATTTAAACCCTGTTTTTCATTGAAAACAGTATAAAGACAACATATCAAAAGTTGAAACTGAGAAATTTCATTGTTTTTTGAAAAATATATGCCCATTTTGAATTTGATATGTTGTCTTCATACTATTTTCATTTAAATATAGGGTCTACGTGATTTGCATATAATTGCATTCTATTTTTATTTACATTTTGCACAGCGTCCCAACCTTTTCGGAAATGGGGTTGTATATCAAACTTAAGAATTAATAATTGCTGCATACAGTATTTGAAGCTACACCATGAATTCCAAAAGCCTTCATAAATAAGGCTGCTTGCACACTGAGGTCGGTTGCTAAAGTCCGAATCAGAGTTTGGGTTTTTGTTACATTGTATCTCTTTCATTGGTTTCAGTTGGTTTCATACTGCAAAGGCTAAAGTGCACCAAATTATACACATAAGTTTTTGCTTATTGGTCAGAAATTTTGTAGTTGCTCTCATGTTTGAGCCACAAAAATCTACTTGGCATGAAAGTAGAGACACTTAATGTCTATATGTATTAATTAATAAAAGAAATGATAATAAACCTCACTTTATATCTGCTATTTTATGATTGGTTTGTCGATTTGAATGTAACCAATAAGGTCACTGAGGCAGACTAAAATGGACTGGACTAAAGATAAAGTTCGGTAGGATTGCACCAAACTTGCTAGGTGTGAAAGCATCCTAAAAACCCACTTTGTGGGACTTTTACACTATATTTTCTCCAAAAGAACTAATCCAGTGTCCTTCCTCCTTTAATGAATAAGCACAGTTATGTCTCTTTGACAAAAAATACAGATGTGCTATAACTATTGATGCAGTAAATAGATGGTAAATAATATAATATAATAAAAAAAATCACATTTTGCAAGCAGAAATCATTTATAGGTTTAATAGAAATGTAGGAATTCCACTCCTAGTCCTAATTTTTTAAAGATCACTGAAAAATTGCATTTAATTTATTATTTATTTATGTATTTTAATTAATAAATTAATTAAAAGTAAATTAATTAAAGATTTATTTATTATTATGAAACTAGTTTTAACATATTTTTAGGGTTGTATTTATACTCAGTTATGCTCAGTTCACTCATGCTGTTAGCAACTTTCTGCTTGAATTTTTTTCAAGGTTGAAATGATCTGTATATGATATCAGAGAGAGAAACATGTCTGACATCTGACACACCTGCATCACCTCATTAGTAAATAACCAGATTTAATGTGCTACAGCAGAGAAGACACGAAACAGTGAGGTCTTGTTCTGGTTGAGGGTTGAAAGTGGAGGAAACACATGCAAAACCATTGTGCAGTGCTTCATGTACTCAGCTCATACACTGGGCAGTCTAACTACTCCTCACAGCTCCTCACAGACAGACGATAATTCAGTTTTTTTTAGCTCATTTGAAAATGATGAAGATGACAAATTGAATAAAGTATGTTCCTCATGTGTGCTGGTAACTCTCTTCTCAACATCGCTGAGCTCATCAAGGCTGAAGTGTTTTTGTGGCTGGGAGCTGCTCTCTTCTGATTGGCTTTCAGAACTGAATATATAAAATTTACCAGGCTTTTATTCTAAGCGTTTTATGAACTGAAACTCACATTTATTTTTACTGTGTCACAGTTCTTAAAAGTAGCAAAGTAAAAGTAAAAATAATAGGACTTAATTCTACTCAGAAAAAGGTACTGTTAGAGGGAAACATGTACTTAAGTACACTAAACATTCCCTCAAAGGTACAACAGTGGTTTTAAGGTCCAGTTGTGAAGCTTAAATGAGTTTTTCCAGGTGAAAAGTTCGTATTTGTACCTTTTCATACCGAATGTTTTAAAACAGAACAGTAAAATAAAAGCCTGGAGGCGAGACGGGGTGTGTGGAGTCAATACAACTTATATATATATAACTTAAAATATCATTTTAATGGATTATGGTACAGTTATGTTCCCTGACTAAAGGTACTGAGACGTACCCTTAAGGGTACCACCTCAGTGACAAGAGGGGTACTGCCCCAGTGACAGTTTAGTACCTTCATTTCTGACAGTGTACTGGAATGTGAGTAAAAGTAATTTGTTGCTTTCCACCCCTGTGTGTGTTCCACCTGTGTGTGTGTGGGTGTGTGTGTGGATGTGTGTTACAGCCTGGTCTAGGGTCAGCCCATCAGCCCTTAACAAACAATGAGAGTGGGTTCTCTCCCCAGACTTGCTGCCGAACCAGACACTGGGATGAATGAGGAAAGAAGGAAAAAACTTTCTTAATTTTGAATAGAAGTTAATGGAACTACACTTTTTTCCAAGCACTTTTGGAGCATTTCTGTTGATCCGTTCATCATGAAATTTTGACATATTGTCATATACATATATGTCCCTATGTTTACGTTAACCCCATTTTTGAAATGACATGTTTTGTTGATTTTCTAAGTGAAAATGAAGTCAACACATCCTCACCAGAGAATACACTCATTTTTTTAAAAATGTAGTGCACAACCTCTGTTTTTTGCTGGATTTAATACATTAAAAAAATTAAACATAAATTCTACTATGTGCCATAACTTTTACACAGGCAACATTAATACAATTTACCACCAAACTCAGCAAATAGGTCTGGATGTTCTTTTCTAAATAGTCTCTATTGAGTATTGAGTTGTCATCAAGGACAAAACAGAAATGGAAAATTCAACTTATCAGATTTACCCCCCCCAGGAACTTTACTCATATGGGAAACAACATCTGACATCAGAAAGGTGAAGGGGTTAAACTGGGTGAAGTACACTTTGTTTAAACACAACTTTTATGTATAATAAATAATTTTTCATTTCTTTTTCATTATTATTTTATAGAAATCATCTTCACTCAATGCTGTTGTCCTTGTCAACATGACTATCAGCGCCAAAGAGGCACCTCTAGATTAAACACTGTACTTCTGTACATTAAATTATGTTTTTTTTTTATCACAAAGTTACTGAATTCTTACTAAATGGGGGTTTTATATGATATGATCACAAAATCCTTATAACTACATTCCATTAGACTCCTGGGTAATGTTGACAGACTGGTATGAAGTCACCCTCCGTTTGTGTATATGTATCTAAGATACTGAACATTTGCAGGGAGGGGGGTGAGAAAATCCCTACTTAAGTAAAAGTGCTGTTACTGTAGAGACAATTTACTGAAGTAAAAGTATTAATTAAAGAACTTACTAAGTTTACTGGAAAACTACTTGAGTAACTGAGTTACTTTTTCATATATCTGCAATCACTGCAGTCTGAATATGCTTCTGATTTGGCTTGCCTACATCATTAGACACAGTCAGTACCAGCAAAACTAAACCTAAACATGATATTACATGAGAAAGAAAGTCTTCCTAAGATTGATCATAATATCTTCTGCTAATGAACATTTATACATCTTTCTGTGTGGACTAAGAGAGAGGGAGAGAGAGAGAGATAGCAGAGTCATGACTTGTTCCAACAGCAAGCAAGCATTCAAATGGAGTGTCGCGTCGAGTTGCAAGGCCATGTCTACACTGGAAATGTGAAGTGTTTGTGTCAAGTCCAAATATAAACTATGGCAACGTTTTCCAGACTTTTTTTTAATTTCAAATAAAGCAATAAGCCTCTCGAGGCAGAGTGTTACTTCAATTTTAACAGGGACAGGGGTGTTCTTAGGCACTTAGGCTTCAAACCCCCTTCCCTGTGATATAATTGCAGTAAACTATACTTGCTTATTGCTTTTATAAAACGGCAGCCAACATAAATATGCTAAAATACACAATTTTTCAGAGAATAATCTAAGTTATAAATAATGATAAACAACATTAAAAAAGTGTTCCACCAAGAAATGTAGTTCCTTTAGAGCAATCGCAACAAATCTGTGGGCCAGCTGTGTTTCTATTTTAGTTTTGCTTAATATTTTGCCATTGTTTTTTCAAAATATGTAAAAACTACAACAGCAAAAATAGGCACTGAACACTTGCATGATTCAAAAATAATTTTAAGTAAAAACAAATAGTTTTTTATACAAAAACAGATAACTGCTAAACCTCCAGTGAAGAGTAGGTTTTTTAAAACTGCCAATTCGCTTGAACTAGACACCTGGCATCTCTCTTTTATTTATGTTTTTGTGGTGCTGTCCTATATTTCGTTGTTGGGGAGGGAGCACACATTACGTTGCAGTGCATGCAGGGAACTGTAGTGCAGTGCATAGTGAAAAGGGCTAATATGAATAGAAAATTAAATAATTTTGCGAGCTGAATATGATTGTGCTATGGGTCTGACTTGGCCTGTGGGCCTTGTGTTTGACACATGGGCTTTAGAGTATGGTATCATTGCCAAGAAACCATGGGCCGCTGAATGAGGAGAAGAACGTTCAATCGCCCATCGCTGTATACTGCAGTCATTTCACAAACGTTTTAACTTTTTGTCACATAATAATGAACATTTCATAACACAGCACTGTTTCATTCAAAAACCGTCGCTTAGAAGGACTTTTTGGTCACCAAATTATCACTGTGAGTCTTATTTAGCACTAATCCAGCGGGCTGAATCCTAAATGGCTCCCTGCTCCCTACATAGTGCACTATGTAGGGATTTCCTGCACCCCAACGGTGCATAATATAGCTAAAAATAGTCATTTGGGACTGGGCCACATTCATACTCGACATAGAGTGCACTATTTGGCTGTAGAGGCTAGAACCTCTAAACTTACATAGCACACTACTTAGGGAGTAATAAGCTGTTTGGGATTCAGCCTGGGGTTGATGGGACTTCTGACTGAAACACAAACATTTGAAGTTTGTAAGACATTGAAGTGACATTCTTTAGACTTTTATATCGCCGTTTTACAGTTAATCATACAGTATTGTAATTCAAGACATAATTCAAATGCAAAATTTTGGCGTGACTTCCTCCGCAAACAGATGTTATGTTGAGCATTACTAGTTTTTCTCACTGACTGGTCTCTTCATTAGTAACATCTCTGATTTAAACCATAGTTCTTTCAAAAAAAATATGATTTTTGGTCAGATTTAAAGCAGCAATATGTAAGATTTGGGGATTTGGAGGCCTCTCTGGTGGAAGTGTGTAATTGCATGCAATGTGCAGAGGAGCACTTTGTATCAGTGGTTGTGCTTCAGACCCCTTCCCCAAGCATGAATCTGATGACTGGGCCTGTTGAGAGAGTATCGAAAGAGAACTCGGTCAAAACTTGGTGCAGGATGTTTCTTCTGAGGATGTAAGTGAATTATCTACTATTGTCATCATATCTTCATTAGTAAAAATGTTGATTTCGCATTTGAGACCTAAACATCGAGCCGGACCTTTTTTTTGACTCTGTGCTTGTGACGTTAATACATAAAGACGTAAAAAAAACCTGCAAAATCCATTCTAGCACCTCTGACTTATTTCAGGCTTTACAGGAGCGCAGACACACCTTGTTTTAGTGTGTTTTTTCTCTCCTGACTCAGTTATGATTTTTTCAATAAAAAAAAAAAGCAAACTTACATAGTGCAGCTTTACCAACCAAAAGCAATCACGACACACTGTTAAGAAGCAAAGTCTCTGTTAAGAGCAAATTATTGAGAAGGCCAGTTCATCCCCTTCCAAACATTAGAAAGGACATTGCCCCTCTGCCCCCCTCTTTCCCCCAAATCTACACCAATGGTAAATTATAATAAGTTTAATTCACATTCACTTCAGTTATTCATTTTGAAGTGTGGGCCCACATTTGCTCTTCCATACAGCACTCAGTCATTAAATGAAGCGTTCACACACATTTCTTTCTTCTTTTGCTACCAGTTTTATTTTTTTTTTTTCCAGATAATGTGGAAATTAAAAAGAGATGGCACAAAATGCAACATCTGTAAGATCTAATTGCTGTTTATGGTGCTGGTGATCCAGGAGACATAGTTGCAGACTTTGGTGTAGACACCAGGCTTATTCTTTAGGGCACAGCCATAACCCCAGGACACAATACCCTGCTGCACACTGTTGCACACGACTGGGCCGCCAGAATCTCCCTGTGGGGGTCAAGAAAAGGGGATTAGTGATTAGCGAGAGCGCATAAGAAGAACACATAATGAGTTCATATGCAAAAATTCAAAAGGTTTGTTGACGGTTGGGAGTTGTTCTTAACACACAGTTCATTCTGAACCCTTAATACATTTTGCCCAAAAGGCGTTAGTGTTCATTGTCAAGGCATCGCAAGTTCATGTTTACAGTAGAAACGGTCAAACTCCAGCACTGGTCTTGAGCTGAACCGGATAAATCCTTTCAGCGAATCAAAGCACAGTTTTCGGGTCAGGTGATGCAACACTGCCGCCGACTGTTTCAGGTAGAATCTCAATGACTCCCTTCCTCCTACAAAATGCACTACATAGGTCTTAAAATAATGGCTACTGCATCGAAACAGAGCACAGTGTGTTAAAGCCCAAAACAGATGGTAAATATTGACCATTAATGGGCTGTTTTTGTTGCCATTTTCAGCATTTTACCTGCTTGTTTTATGTTAGAGATTGATAAATATTGCACTTTAAAGAAACTTGTGTCCATTAAATGGCTTTGTTTAACTATGAAACATGAAATAACAATTGTATTTATTTTACCTTTGTCAAAAAACAAAATTTAAATGAAAAAAAGTTTAATTTTAGTTACCTGTATTTTATTGAGTTATTTTTACTTAATCAAAACAAGCCAACTGCAGTTTGATTGATATTGCCTGGAATGCGCAATAAAAAACATGACTTATAAACTCATTCAAATGGAGATATCTGCTTTTGCAAATGAACTTTTTATATATAATTTATATACTTTGTTTTTTTTTATAGTGGATGTGGACCATTTATTAACCTTTAAAGGTTTTTACTGTTGTTTGGCTGTAGTATTTAAATGTGATTACATAATCACATAACATTACTGTCAGGACAAAACCTGGTATCTCAAAAAAAGGTCACTTTACAGGAGAAGGCAGTGCGTATACATGCGCTCAATAATCTGATCATAATCGGATTTCTGCAGTTATCCGATCATTCAAATTGTCATGTAAACACCATACACTGATCTAAAAATCTGATCTAGAAATCCGATAAAGAGAGCTGGATTTTAGCATAGCAATCAGATGTCTCAGTGCATGTAAACTCTTACTCAGATTTCTTTCAGATTTCTCAATCTGTGCATACGCGAGATCAGACGGTGGCTGTCGCGAGACGCAGCAAAGCACTTTTTGAGCTAAACCAAACACAAAATGAAGGATTTAAATATTCTTCGTCTTCTAGATGATGTTTGTTCATATTTTCAGGTAAAGTGGCGCAATGTTTTAAAAAAAGCTGAGGCATGAAGTTCGAGTTTTATGTTACGTTTACATCACGTCTTCTTCTACGTCTTATTCTAGTTTATTGGCTGTTTGCAAAGTAGAAATCCGATTATTGCCTGACTCATGTAGACCCGGAGTTTCCTCGTTATCTGATTTTTCAAGTCTGATTATTTATTCTCTGCAGTTATCGGATTATTAAGTGCATGTAAACGCACTCATTGTTACTTTGAATGGAGAGTAATGGAACAATGTAAAGGGCAACTGGCATTTTACAATCAAACCTACAAGGTTTTGTTCCAACAGAGATGATAAGTAATTACATAGTTACACAGTAAATTGCATTTTCATTCGATTTACATTCTGTGTCGTCAGGCTGAGTCTGCACATTCAGATTTTACTGTTTGTTGTTTCTGAATTGGTATTTTATATTTCTGATTTTGTACTGAACTAACTGATGGTTTATAACCTATACTAACATTTTGGGAATATTAGGCCATTTAAAGGCAAAATGTATCGCTCCGCAGGATACAGAAATGGTTTGAGATATACTGTAATATAACTGTCTTGGAATTTTCAGAAAAACTGTACAATATTACCATAATGAGTAGCAAACTGAAAAATAAATAGGAAAATTTAGTCAGCAGTGTTCTTGGTTGAGCCCTGATGCTCTCATTACCTGGCAAGAATCCTTGCCTCCCTCTACGAAGCCAGCACAGAACATGTTGGAGGTGATCTGTCCAGGGTAGGCACTGGAGCAAACGCTGTTACTCAGAATAGGGATGTCCAGGCATCTCAGAGTGGAAGGGTAGTTTGCTTTTGAGGGAAACATATAAAACATAATCAGACCAATCAGCTGCATACAGTGCGAAAATGTCTGCATGATTCAATCATTAGTAAGTAAACACAGTCATGCAGAATGGTTTGATGTGAAATGCTCCATTGTAGACAAACTGTGTCAGATGTGTTGACAACAGTAGTGAAAGGAACCAGACGTTTGAAGAGTGTAATGCTTCTAAAAAAGCCATGTCACAAGAACCAATTACATAAACTGGTTATAAATACAATGCTGGATGCCTCAGACATTGTTTTAGCAAAAAAAAAAATGTCTCCAAACACAATGTATTTTTCAGATTTACCATTATTTTACCTTTATATTTTACATTTAATATTATATATAACATTACATGTAAAAACTCAGAAGATGTGTAGGTTCACATGTCATTTAAGATTTGTACCGCAAATATTTACAGTTTTAGCCAGTTTACCAAAGAACTACCCATTTAGTAAAAGTGCTACTTTATCTTCCCACATACAACACGTGCCTATAATACAGCCACTACAAAGTGATACATGCAGATTGCTTAGAAGTAGAGATGGAAAAATAAGTAGGATAAGTAAGATTAACTCATTTTTGCTATTTCACTGAATCAGTAGGTCAATATTGTTTCGTCCTGTTTGCTAATGTTTGTGGTTAGCTCCGCAGCAGCAACTGTAGAGAGTTTCTAATCCACACCCGAGCTAACATTAGTTATATTACTTGCTGTGTGGTTGTTCACTCTACCGTTATTTCATGGTATTTGTCCGTATAACATTTGCGAAGGGTTTTATGGCCACAAAGATCTCAAAAAGTGTCATTTGCCTTGGCAATGCATGTCCATGAATTCGGGCGGCAGAGCTTCTGAAGGAGAACTGAAGGGAGAGGTGTATTTGTTTTGCTGTTGAAAATCGCTTTTGCGTATTTAAATGTACCATCCAGCCTCATCCTCGATTGGTATCGGCTATTGGCCGATGACGCTGAAAAGTGATCTGTAGCGGCCCCTAAAACACTGATTGGTCCATCAATACTTAGCAGCTTAGACAAAATAGCTGATGTAGGTCAAGCTGATGATTGGTAGGCCTGTCATAATCAGGAAATTTGAGCTGATCAATAATTGCAATATTCATAAGTGAAATGAAAAATTTCTCTTATTTTTTGTTCATTGTGTGCAACAATTCAACTACAAGGCTAAAATGGCCAAACTGATTGATTAGCTCTCTTGCATCTTAGCTATATACTTAGTATTTCCCAACTTTTTCAAAAGTTAAAAATTTTCCAGAACTTCAAAAATGACATTTTCTGCTTTTTTATTTAAATGTATTTGCTTCAGTGCAGCTGAGAAAAATGTATACTCTATTCATTGTGATGTAAACATATGATTGTGAAAGCTGAAAAATATAACTGCTTAAATAACAGCAATCAGAAGATTATGTAATAAATAAGAAAGACCTCATGACTGGTTGGTGGGGCACTGACCCAGTAAATGACCCCCAGATGCCAGTGTAATAAAAATACTCGACACAAGATTGTTGCAAGGTCAACTTCTCAAATGCAGAACTGTCAATGTTAAAAGCTGATGCTGACAATAGTTGACACTGTACAAACATTTATTACTGTATGTTATTTTGCTTGTCATAGTGCAAATGAGTGCCTTAATGTGCTTAATGTACATACATTAAAAAAATGACCTTGTGTGGATTTTAGATGACGACTGCCACTCATATAAGGTCACACTGTTAGCTCTAGCATTAGCTTATGTACTGATTTAACTCACAGTGCCTCAAAGATTTCCTTTCACTTCTGATTTACCGAGGCAGTTTGTTTAATAAAAAAAAAATCACGTGGTCTTCTGTCTGACTGTCCTTCCTTTAAACTGTTTCAGGATAACATCTTCGAAAGACCCTTGACGTTTTGCTTTCCGCTTTCTTTTGTTTACATGTGTAAATTAGTGGATAAAAATGTAAATTCTATTTGTTGTAATCTAACCATATGATTCTGAAAACTGAAAACTGTGGAATTCAATCAGTTCAAATAATTGCAATCAAATGATTATGTAATAATTAAGACAGGCCCCATGATTGGTTGGTGGGGCATTAACCCAGTAGATGCCTGAGTAATGAATATAGTGAGTGCAGCAATATGATCATGAATGGGTTTTGTAGTGCAGTAACTGAGGGAATTCGAAGTAAGCATACTTACTGCCACTGCTGAGAGTGTTTCCCCATCCGGCGACCAGACAATAGGTGCCAGCAGAGGCGCAGCTGCTGGGCAAGGACACAGCCCGCACATAGCTGTTCAGGGTGGCAGCTGATTTCAGCTTGATAAGCATGATGTCATTGTTGAGGGTGCTGCTGCTGTAATTGGGGTGCCTGATGACCTTGGAGGAAGAGATGAACTGCTCAGTGCCCTCACTGACATCAATGTTGTGCTCACCCAGGCGCACCTGGATAGACCTGGTAAAAGACGAGAGAACGTTAATCCCTTTCAGGAGCAACATGCAGTTTGAGGGAGAATCGTTTCCATACCATATAGTTGCAGAGGCCATTTCAGCACCTGCCCATTGGCTTCTATTACAACTGTATTTTGACCCAATGGGTTTTCTGTTCTTTTCTATGTATACGGTACATAAGATAAAGCAAAAGGGAGCTTCTGTGTCACCCTATATGAAGGAAACCAAGCAGACGTGCACAGATAGATCTCGGGGGCTTAAACTCCCGCCCTTTTGCTAAGTTAAGTGACCCTTATTAGTCCCACAAAGGGGAAATTTCACCTCTGCATTTTAACCCATCCGTGCAGTGAAACACCACATACACACTGGTGAACACACACACTAGGGGGCAGTGAGCACACTTGGCTGGAGTGGTAGGCAGCCCTATCCACAGCGCCCGGGGAGCAGAAGGGGGTTAGATGCCTTGCTCAAGGGCACTTCAGTCATGTACTGCCCTAAGACCAAACAAATGCCCACTATTCTTTAAGATCCATTCCAGCAAAGTGAGGCTCAGTTTTGCCCAAGGAATAGATCTTGTTGGTTGCCTTGGGTTCTATGAAATCCATCACTCTTGAGCGCCCCCTCTGGTGCAGTACTGACCGGCTGTGGTCCTCCTCAGTAACTCTGACCTGTCATGCATCACCACAGCACTTGAAATCTCACCAGTAAAGCACCGATAATCTCGTTAAGATTTTCCACAATATGGTGATTTGGAACAACAACCAAACATAGTGTTGGCAATAATAATGGAGGTTACTGACTTGCTACACTAAGGTTTCATTATTGTAAAAATAAATAAATAAAATAAGTAAATAAATAAATAAAAACAGGATTTATATCTGACCCTGTGGAGCAACTCCACTGAACTTTTCAAAATTTCTGGTTTATTCAGTCACTGAGATGCAAACAGTCATTCAAAGTTGTTTGACATGAAATGGTGCATTACTAATTCTAAAATTTTTAGAATGGTGGTGGTAGGAACCGGGAGTTGTGATGTCTGAAATTAAAATATAACCGTTGTATTTATTACCCAGAGTGACAAGTGAACCTACGTTTGCCTTACAGTGCCCTGCATGTATGTCGCCACCCTGCATGGACTTAAAGATAGTCTTAGGCCAAACGTTTATAGCAGTATTAGTGTAAAACAATGTCTCAGGCATCAGGCAGCCTTTTGTCACCATTTACTGGAATAGCTTTCTGAGAAAGAGCTTTCCTGGTTCCTATCACCACTACTGTGAACAATTCTGACTCAAACCACTCTGAATGACTTAATTAAACACTGTGTAGTGAATAAACAGTGTGGGGAGTAATGTCATGGCTTTGTTTGCAAGTGACTGGGGTTCAAACCCCTGCATAGATATCAATGTTAGTGTCTGTGGCTGCATTTGGAAAAAGTCAACATTTCATAATCTGTCTCTTCTAAGAGTGATTGCAATATATATTATACCAACCTGCCACTTCATTAAGTACATGTCCTTGTATCTACACTCATTGGTGGATCATTCTCAGCACTGCAATGACACTGACACTGGTGGCATGTTATTGTGTGCTGTGCTGGAATGAGTGGATCAGACACAACAGTGCTGTTTTCGCTGTCCACTCACTGTCCACTCTATTGGCTCATCTGTTGCTGCATAGTTTGTGTTGGTCGTCCTCTAGTCCTTTATTATGGTCACAGGACGCTGCTGTCTGGTTGACGGACTACTATCAGTCCAGCCGTTTTTTAAAAAACTCCACTGCTGTGTCTGATCCACTTGTACCAGCACAAGACACACTAACACGCCACCAACATGTCACTCTGAGCTGCCAATCTTGGGAAAAAATTTTGCATAGCAGTTGTGTAATGCTAAAAAAATGCTTAGCACGTGGTCATTTCTGCACTTGCCGCCATGTCTTCAGTGACCTCCTCATCTGACGTCAGGTAAGACACACACACACATACACACGCCTCCAAATAACTTTCTAGGTAATATAATTTCTGCGGCACAATCACATGCTTTTTTTATCCTCCATGATCTGCTCCTCACGTATTGTTACGGGTTTGACTGTGATAATAATTATGAATACAGTACTGTGAATTTGCGACACACAGACGATATAACTTAACTTCACTCTGCCAACTTAAAGGCCAGGTCAACAAGCAAGCTAGCTTGCAAATTACATAACGTTAAGCTAAAGTTATTAACGCTGAAGTAACTCAATTCAAAATATCAGTTTTCCACATCCACCCCAGCCTGTTCACCTTTGCAATGGAGTCAAAAGGACCATCCTCCCGTGTGGGACCAGCCACAGGCGTCACCAGCTTTTTGCGTAGAGTGACAAATCCTACCAGCGAACTTTGATGTCAAAATGCGTACCTGCTATGCAAAATGTGTACAGGTTGGCAGGTCTGGTCACTGCAGTGCTGAGAATGATCCACCATGCAAATAATACCTGCTCTGTCGGGATCCTGACCAATGAAGAACAGGGTAGCAGAGTATGCAAAGAAACAGATGGACGTGTCTGCGATTGTAGAACTATAAAGCCTACCTATATGGTGGAGCTAATAAAATGAAAAGTGAGTGTAAATACATAGGTGTATATTGTGACTGCAATATAAAATACATTGCAAAATATATTAAATGAAGTTTAATTCATGTTCTCCTTTTGCCTCTTGAGCCCCAGCCCCCCAAAATGTCTATGCACAGGCTTGGAACTAAGTCACTACCCAAATTGGGTGGGGGTGATAAAGAGCATGCATAATGTTTGAATCTGTGGGCCTAGAAGTCAACAAGTCAACATAGATCTCTTCAATTTAGTAGATATGCCTCTTTACTTTGGTGTTTTCTTGGTTTATCATGTAGTTTTCTTTCGGTTGGTGTGGTTTTGGAGGGAACTTGCACTAAAATGAAATAAATAGTAATTGAGAAGAACTATACTTACGACTGGTAGCAATGGGCAGCAGAAAGGACCCACAAGCTGTTGATCAGAGAACCTCCGCAAAAATGATATCCAACGTTCAGAGACGCTATGTAGGGCACGCTGTTCTTTGTGCACTCATAGCCTCCGACGATCTTGTCATCGTCATCAATAGGGGCAGCGACTGTGTGGCGGAGGGAGGAAAGTGGATGTATATCTACATGTGCATGTATCTGTAAACTCATGTCATATGCATCATTTCTTTCCTAATTCTTGGTTATGCGTCGCCTTTGCCTTAATATCAGCATCAGTCCTGTCAGGTAAGGAGTACGCCAGCCTCTTTCTATCCATTCTAGTCCACTCTTTCACAACTGGGTCTTCCACAAACACACATACAGGCACCCTACAGCTGTCATCCTGGAATGTGGGAGCGTCAGTACTGTGTTCTGCTCGGACATGAAGAGCTCCATCTCAAGAGACTGGTGTAATCCTTAACTGAAAGGATTGGAGCTGTCATGAAAGCTATTGGATGCCGAAGTATTAGAGAATAAATTATGCATACAACAACACTGGGGAGCTTATGATAACAGTACATATTTATGTAAACATTCCAATTTAGTTGTGGACAAGTGTATTAAATGATACTAATGTTCGAATATGTTAGTAAACATATACAATCTGACAGCTTTCTGATGCTTTCAAAGGAATACAATAAACATAAAATGTTAAACAGAAATGCAAGAATAGGGAAACTTACATGCCACCGCAAAGAGAGTCAGCAAAATGATGCCCTTCATGATTTGAGTGATAGCTGGATATTCCGCACAACGCTCAGCCTAGAACCTCTACTCTTATAGCGGCACTATTTGTTTTTTATTGTTAATCCACCAAGTAATCATTAGCTTCCTTGAGAATGGCCAGATGGCCAATGAAGGACAAAGATAACAAATTTACAGCTATATTGAGTTTTTATTCCAGATCAAATCTCTCTTTGCCATTTTTGTCTAGTGAATGAGACACTGTTATCTAGTAAATGAGTAATTCTGTGCCAACTCACCTGGGACCTGGCATTTCAGATCATGCGTTTGTATAAAAATCTTGAAAAAATGCAAGCAAAAAATTCAATGTAATCGAAATAGTCATGCAAAATTTCAAAGCTGTGGGCCAAAAAGTTTTTAGCTATGAATTGTTTAAGTTTTCCCCGTGAAGTTCTAAATCACATCTTACAAAAATGAATTTAAGCACTGAACTGAACTGAACTGCTGAAATGCTTAACTGGGTAAAAATAAAATGGCAAGAATAATATTTCACTTTAAATCAACTACTTTCATGTTAATATATTCCCACAATATATACAATGGAGTATGAAATCTCTCGTTTTTCATTTCTATTAAAGCTATTCATTTATTATTTCGTGCACTATGTTAAGAATGAATTCACAATTAAAAGTCTATTTCCTTTAAAATATATTGCCTGAATAGGGACAGTTATGTCTCCTTAACAGAAACATGACAGAGGTGCTTCAACTATTTTTGTTTTAATGATTTTTGAACATGAGATGTTTGACTAAGAGGCACAATATAAAGAAACAGTAAAAGTAAGTAACAGCAAAAACCACAAAATTTACAAATTAAACCTTAGAATTTTAATAAGGGACACCCATTTCCTGGAACATTATCAAGGTGAGTTTGGAAATTTTCTATTTCCTTTAACACTATTTCTTTATTCTGTGATTTCTATATACTGTTAGTCATATATTTCATGCTCAACAATTATTAAACCATAAAGGAGTCATATATATATATACATGATAAGATAGGTGCACTTTGTAGTTCTACACTTACAGACTGTAGTCCATCTGTTTTTCTGCCTACTTTATTAGCGCTTTGTTACTTTGTTATTTTATTTCAGTATGTTGTAAATAATCTAAATTCCCTGTTCAGTGTTCAGTGCAGCAGTCATCAAGGACAAACCTTCGGGAAAAAAATGGAAAAAATACCAAAAATACCATTATCATTCCCACCTCTAAAAGATCTCTCATATGGGAACCAACATCTGGCATCAAGAAGGGAAAGGAGCTAAATTTGGCTAAGTACACTTTGTTAAATAAATAAATAGAACTTTTGTGTATAATACATAGTCTTTTATGTTTTTTTTTTTTATCATTTCATTAAAAGTGTCGTTCTACAGAAACGTCCACTTTTTTTATCTATCCATAGGAGTCACTGGTGTTACTGATCGTCATTGGTGTTACACATAAGAAAGGGAACACCAGAGACATTTTTAATGAAAAATGCATTTTACTAAATGGCTGCTACAGAGCATCAAACCACATGTTGTCAATCAGGGGATATCCACTAAAATATGGAATTTAATCCATTTGTATTCTATTTTTTTCACAGTTACCTAAGAATAAAGTAGGTCACACCAGTGACTTCAGCTAAAAGCTTCATATGAAATCATGAGCTAAATGAGAAAATCTCTGATAACTGAGAGACACAGTGGACTCACCATGTGCTTTTCTTCATAGATCTTCAGAAAACAGTTAAAAGGAAGTCAAGTGACGTCATAAGTGTGATTTTTATTTCAGAATAAGAGATTTGTTGTTACGCAGTACAATATTTATTTGGCATTTGTTTTTTTTATGTCATTTAAATCGTATATTTCATGGTCGTGTATATATTATTGCAGTTAAAATGGCAGAAAAACATGTTTTTTACCTCAAAATATGACACTCAGCCTTTACACAGACTGTGGTGACGAGCATTTCTGTGGTGCTTGGAATTCTATATAATTGATTTACAAACCAATATTGCTGTAAACGCTAGGGACACAAAAAGTGACGTTTCCATAGAATAACTCAAATATCAAGGATGCAGGAAGTGGGGGTGAGGGGGCTGCAGCACCCCCTGATTTGAGGATTGTAACTGTAAAAAAAACTAAACAATAAAAACTCAATGAACTTTATAATAATTTGAGCACAGTAAAAATCTATGTGTGATTGTTTTAGAGTGGATATTTTTGTATTTTCAAAATCTACAGTAGCTGCACTGTTTAAGTGAACTGAAAGCTGCTGGCCGCATCTCTAAAACACACGTAGGTTGAGGTTTACAAAGAGAAAATCTATGCAGAGTTATAGATTATACTTCTGAACCCCAAAACAGCATGATATTGTTTTAAAACTGATTGGTTTGGATCACTCAGCTCATTTGCATAAAGCTCATGCAGAATGAGAGAGCAGTGGTTTGATGTGTCAGTTAGATGTTTATATTGTCGCCTCTCGCCTCATTAGCAAGTGAGTTTAGTGAACTCATTAGTGAACACACACTAGGGGGCAGTGAGCACACTTGCCCAGAACGGTGGGCAGCCCTATCTGCAGCATCCATGGAGCAGTTGGGGGTTAGGTGCCTTGCTCAAGGGCACTTCAGTCACATACTGTCGGCTCAGGGGACCAATTCAGCGACCTTCCGGTCACAAGGCTGCTTCCCTAAGCTCCATGACTGCCCCCAGACATTCCACCAGTTTTTTCAGAATTTCTCCATCATTAAATGTTTAAGATATAAACAAAGTCATGCAGAGTGGTTTGATGTGAAACGCTTAATTCTTGAGAAACTTACTGAGTCAGAATTGTTCACAATGGTGGTGATAGGAACCAGACATCCACCTCTAAAAGCTCCCTCACAGAAAGTTCTTACATGAAATGGGTGAATACTCTGTCTGATGCCTGAAACATTGTTTTATGATAGTTTTAAAACTATCATACTAAGCTTATTTTTTCCTTTGTTCATGGTGGAGGGGTACACACAGGGCAAAACAGTCACCAAAGAAAACTTACGCTGTGTCCAAAATACTACCGTACTAAAACTAATATGCCACCACGAGACATCCATTCATTAGTTTAGTGTATATATAGTATAGCAGTATGCAGTTTTGGACGCAGCTTTTGTTTTACAGTTTTACCAGACTTTCACCATCATCAATATTCCATATAAAAATGAAGACACGAGTTGGTTCACGGGTGGTTTTAGACAGTAAATAAAATGGCTATGTTTGTGTTGTAGTCATGGCGACCCCTGGTTCTTATCCTCACCACTGAGTCAGTAAGTTTCTCTACAACGAACCATTTCATATCAAAACACTCTGCGTGACTTTGTTTACATCTCCATGACTGGATTAAGCAGAAATTTAAAAATGGAAGTGGAATTCCTCTTTAAAATCTCACCACCCAGATTACACAAACATTTGGTTAGAGTGCCATGTTTGATTGTTAAAAGACTCTATAACGTTCTCTCTCCATTCTCTCTAATTCATTTTTCTTCTAAGTTCTTTTCCTGGACGTTCTAAGACAACAGCACACATTAGAGTGATTGTGCTTCTTTGTGTTTGTCCTGTCGGTCAGCTCTGGCCTTTAAGAATCCCATTAAGAAACTATCAAATGCATCTGGAATCAGTCTCAGACCAGTATTTAGAATCAGTCTCAGAATCAGTTCAGGATTCTAAACCATTAGATTCCTTTAAACTGTAATATCAACCCCTCACAAAAACACATGAAATACCTTTAGTGGCTACTGGAAGGAACCAACTGAAACTTTTCATTTTTTTTTTCAAATACAACTTTTAACTTGTTTAAAAGCACCTTTTGTGCATAGTGTACAGTGTTGTTTGTCTTTTGCTTTATTATTTCATTGAATATATTCTTTTAAATCATCTTCAGCCAATACCTCTTTAATACCTAAACATTATAGGAAATGTGTACTTTAAATTTTCACTCGGTTTCCCCACCACACAGTGCCACCAGACATTTCCGAGGCTCCCGGTTCAGGACTATTCTGCCATCACTGGGATTCGTACCCATTTCTGTTTCAATTTCAGTTTCTGTACGTAACATAGCTGCCTTTAAATTCTAAGTTCACTGAACATCTGATAATAAGTTTACATAACAGAATGTAAGAAATTGTCGTTTTATGAACTTTGATGTTTAATTAACTTAACATTTTAGGTCAGACACAAATAAATTGAAGTTAAATTGCAAAATATGGATGTTTTTGTTTTTCTAACTATATAATAATTAAAAAAAAAAATCGAAAAAAATATATTCCAAATGTATTTATCAAATATATTTTTACAATGCATGAAAATTGCCAAAAAATAAATTGCATTTATTTGTATTCTTTATTATATTTTTTCAATTGTATGTCGTTTTAACATAGGTCACAGTTATAACCTAATATAGATGAGATGAATGAGTGGTATTGACTTTTGGCATATTTTGCATTGTACTTTGCCTTAAACATAGTACGTATGCGGCAAGACACTCATACAAAACGCATTTCAAATAAAGAAGATATTAAATCAAAGCTGCATTTTCAGTGTATCAACACCTACAACACTTGTTTCTGTCCTGTTAAAGCCCAGACAGCAAGCATATATCAGTCTGCTGGTTTGAAAAGGTTGCACCCCACTGACTGTTTGCCACAGCTGGTCCACCCTAGGACCGCCCAGATTATTGTCCAGCATACAAGCTCTACCTAGTTTTTAATCTCCTCAAAGAGATTTTAAATGCACAGAGACTTTTATTTTAGAAAATAAACTTACACAAACTTTACAAACAACCAAGAGAAAAAAAATCACTAGGCCTATTATAAAATGATTCTATAGAAAGTGTTGCTGCTAAAGCTGTGCTAGATCAAAATTATTTACTAATCAAAGTGTAACTAAAGAAAGGAAGGAAGGAAAAATCTGTAAATTGGACTGTGAGTGGAAAATGAGTGATGATAAGTGGACTTTTGTCTAACACTCCACTTAATCGCCAATGGGCTGCCCGGAAAACACTGAGCAAAACACCAGTGGACCGCCAGCTTTGCCATTAGCGGGGCGACAGTGGACCACTGTCCTCTTGCTATCAGGGAGGTTAATTTGCTAATATTCAAAATGAAGATACTGGAATACAAATTCATTTCTAAAAGCTATTTCAAATAGTAGTAAGTGCATAAGACAAGAATTCTGGTTATTTCCATACATTTTCAAATTTGATGAATACATTTACATACATTTATTTGTTGTATGGTACATTTCGATGTGTAATATTTCCCCATACATTTTAAAATACATACTGTTTGAAATATATTTGGTTCATATATTCTGAAATACTGAAAGTTCTAAGGCAGATTGTGTGCGACTAACTAATATTAACCAAAATTTTTGAAATTTTTTGTTCAGGTCACAAATAAATACTACATGAGTCGACAAATTTAAGTGGTTTTTTTACGGTTAAGGCCAAGTAGGCCAGAAAGGCACCTTTAGGTTAAAAACTATTCTTCTACACGTTATTAATTGCTAGTTTTATATATATTACGAATGGTCTGTTATCAAACTGTCTCTGAATCCTTGAATTCTTACTAAATGGGTGCTTTATAAGTAATAATCACAAACTCTTTGGAAAAACATGCATCGTAGCTTCCCGGCTAATGTTGACAGACTCGCTTAGGACTGGCGTGACGTCACTTTTCAGCGCCCGCTCCCCCGTCTGTGTACATGTACCCGAGATACTGAACATTTGTAGCCTCTACGTGTTAAAGGTGTGTTACAAAGCACTCTGTGGGCTATGAACCGTCATATAACGTGAGTAAGGATGTATTTTGTTCGGACCATATCGTGTTTAGCTGCTACGCGAAGTGAGGTGCGTTTTTAGACGGTCAGCTCTGTTTGGCTGCGAATTGCTAGCTTTGGGTAACGTAGCTCAGTTAATGTATGCCGGATGCCCATCCATTGCGGATGTGGTGCAGAATAAATGCGCATTGATGCGACAGATTTCATATAAGACGCAGTTTAGATCACCCTCCGTGTGTTCTTGTACATTTGAGACTCTGCTGTGCTGTTCTTTCGTTTTGTTCCTCATCTGTTCGGCTGCAGCAACTGAGATTAACGTTAACGTTTCCTCTTGTGGTTTTCATTTCAGACCTCCACGATTCTTCAGTACCTTCTGGGTTTGGCAAAGCCTTCTTCTGTGAAGTAGACAGTAACGTACATATTACCCCTGTGCCAGTCTAGCTCAGCACACATTCTGTTTATTTTCCCCCAGAATATATGAACTCTCTATTCCCTTTTTGGATAAAAGCCAAAAAACACCTGTTTTTATGCTGATTGATGTTACATATGCCCTGCATTTGGACACAGCGCTCCACTGCAGATTTGTAGCTCCACTCTTTTTGTTAAAGCCAGGTACCACCTTGTTTTGGGCAGATCTTGGTCTTGGCAGGGTGTGCATCGAATCGGTGAGCACCAAGCCATCAGTGTGATGGCATGTCAGCCACTTTGTGAATGGCACTGTGTCTGCCGGTCCGATCAGTGTGGCTGTCAACCAGACCTGATCCATGACGGAGTACTACGAGGAGGGGGGGTTGCTGTATGAGCACTCACCTCCCATGCACATTAAAGTGGAGTCCCCGGAGGGTCCCTTTGGAGGGGGTGTCTCAGAAGATGGCTTCCCCCGGGAAGATGATGACTCGGACGGTAGCTGTGATCAGAGTAGTGGACTGCCCGGCAGCCTGCCGTTCAACGTGGTGGTAGTACATCCTAACATTGTTGCCCCTGGAGTATCCTCTGATGAACTTATCCCAAATGAACAAAGTAAGCTATTGATTTTTTTTTTTTAACAAAATAATGTGCAATGGCTAAAGCTGCCCAATACAGTCCAGCTTCTAAGACCAAGGGTGTACAGTTTAAGTACTAGAGGGCCTAATTCATGCCTCAGCAGTTAGTTACCAGTTTAGTGGGTGTATTTGAGCAGGGACATCACCAGGACACTCTAGGACCAAAATTGGACATCCCTAGGTTAGCCAGAAGTCCAGTTTTAACTGTAGGCAAATTTCTCATGCTCTTCATAAAGATTGAGATTTTTGTGCCATGGGTCATTTTTTCACCCCATGATGGTTGCTTGGCATCTCAAACCTTAGACAAGAAAATGTGTAATTTTTTTTTTTTAATTCTGAATCTGGTTTTAGCAGGCACACTGTTTACACACAGCAATTTGTGTAGTTATAATTACATACATAATACATTTCTATATAGTACATTCTGTTTACAACAGTTTTGTTTATATACTTCAGCAGCTTGGCGTGGCTAGTCTTGCACATAGTGTCATGTGAAAAACATTTTGTAGATTTCATCAAATCGAGGTACAGCTGTTTCTTTACAAAACTGTTTGGTATACACCGATCAGGCATAACATTATGATCCTTGTTTCTGCGCTCATTGTCCATTTTATCAGCTCCACTTACTATATAGGTGCACTTTGTAAATCTACAATTACAGACTGTAGTCCGTCTGTTTCTCTGCAGACTTTGTTAGCCCCCTTTTACCCTGTTCTTCAGTGGTCAGGACCCCCTTGGACCCTCACAGAGCAGGTACTATTTGGGTGGTGGATCATTCTCAGCACTGCAGTAACACTGACATGGTGGTGGTGTGTTAGTGTGTGTTGTGCTGGTACGAGTGGATCAGACACAGCAGTGCTGCTGGAGTTTTTAAACACCTCAGTGTCACTGCTGGACTGAGAATAGTCCACCAACCAAAAATATCCAGCCAACAGCGTCCTGTGGGCAGCATCCTGTGACCACTGATGAAGGACTAGAGGATGACCAGCACAAACTGTGCAGAAGCAGATGAGCTGTCGTCTCTGACTTTACATCTACAAGGTGGACTGACAAGGTAGGAGTGTCTAATAGAGTGGACAGTGAGTGGACACAGTGTTTAAAAACTCCAGCAGCACTGCTGTGTCTGATCCACTCGTACCAGCACAACACACACCACCACCATGTCAGTGTTACTGAAGTGCTGGGAATGATCCACCACCCAAAGAGTACCTGCTCTGTAAGGGTCCATGGGAGTCCTGACCACTGAAGAACAGGGTAAAAGGGGGCTAACAAAGTCTGCAGAGAAACAGATGGACTACAGTCTGTAACTGTAGAGCTACAAAGTGCACCTATATAGTAAGTGGAGCTGATAAAATGGACAATGAGCGTAGAAACAAGGAGGTGGTCATAATGTTATACCTATATTAAGCTAAGTGGTAAGGCTTATTGGCCAGGTTAGCCTGATAGACAGAAGCTGAATTGGACAGCTTTAAAATTAGCTTTAAAGTCAGACCAGATATTTTAATGTGCATCCTTTTGTCCCACCAGGCTTTAGTGAAGCCGTTTCATTAACTAACATGCCACCATAACTTGTCTTCAGCTTTAATAAGTCTAGTTTGTCCAGCTGAAATTCAGAAAGCAAAAAGTCAGTTTATTCTTTAACCTGAGACTGAGGGGATGGGCAGTATAAGAATGGGCAATAAGCCCTGAACTAGAGCTTTAACTTTTGGAGCTGAAATTTTGATCTGAACCAGAATACAGCCTGAGAATTTTCTCTCTGAGTCCGACCTGACCATAACCACATCATCAAGTTCTGAGTCCCGGCCCAAGCCCCACAAAGTTTTGTCCAAACCCAACCCAACCTAAACCACATAATTAAGATGCGAGTCCAACCCAAGCCTAACAAATTCTGTCTGAAAGTGACCCAAACTGGCTTATCATCACCCAAAGTGCAGCGCAGAATAAAACCTGACAGGATAGCAGGATAGAATAAATAACCACTTAGTGACGATAATTTATTCATTTTTTATTCTTTTTATCATCGGGTAATGCTATTGAACAACATCACAGTTTTTGTCTGGGTCTTTTCATAATGTGCGCTGCAGTATTTTGTAAGTAAGTGTGAACCTTGTTTATCTTGTTGCTAAATTCATGAGTGGGCGGCTCCACCATGCCTGAATAAAACAGTTCTAAGGTCATAAAAATAGGGAGGAAGAACAAAGTAAAGAGAATATCTAAATTACAAGTAAATGCAGAGCAACATCTGTTAAAAGCAGGAGACAGACTGTGAAAACTCCACACAAGTCAGAATCTCAATGCATATCTGGAATCCAGAGGTGGTGTCCTGTCATGTTCAGACAAATATATCAACCTTTTCACTGAACAAACACAGGACTGATTTATCCCTAGTTAGCGAGAACTTGTTATTCCTTGTTACTGTTGTTGTTATTAAATTGTTTGAGTAACAGCCTCTATATAACAACCACATAAGCTGCATAGTAGCAAGTCGTTGACTGGCCCATTATTCAGTCATTGATATATTTACCATTGACAGTGTGCCTAATGGATTGCTTTTCACCTTTAGACAGAAGTGTTTCAGCAGCACTGGCTTCAGGGGGTGCAGGCAAAAGGAAGAGTCGCTTTAGTGGTGCTGAGCTGGAGGTGTTGGTGTCAGAAGTGACCAGATGTGAAGGAGAGTTATTTGGGCCGGCTGGTAGGCTCAGGCGCCGGGAGAGAGAGCGAATCTGGGCAGGGATCCTGGAACGCGTGAACGCCGTGTCACGAGTCCCACGCACCCTTCGAGAAGTTAAGAAACGCTGGGATGACCTGAAGAGACGCAACGGTGGAAGGCTAGCGGATGCCAGGCACCGCTCCTGCTACCTGCCATCCAGCAGAGGAACGGCAGTTTTGGGAGGGCCTCCTCAGTTGAGTCCCAGGTTCCAGCAGGCCCGTCAGAAGCTTAATACAAGGGGAAAGGCTAGTTTCACCTGTCTGTCTGACACTGATCCAGGTAAATTAGCATTTAAATTAGTATGCAGTCTTCTGTCTTTTCTTTTCTCTGGAAATTTCCACAGGGCACGGCATGAGGTGACAGAATCGCTATTAGAAACTCAGTGATTCTTGTTGTCATTGCTTTTCCATTGCAACTGGATATGTAAACTTTAGCCTCCTCCCTTTGTGGTATTTGGTGTAAATACTGATGAGAAAAACTGGTCATCAAGTTAACAGGTCAGTAACAAGGTCAATAAGCCAAAGATGTGATGTAGTTGAACTGTTTTTTGTTGCAGTTGTATCATTTTGGCTCTGGAACAGGATGCTTTTCTATGCCCTGTTGAAGCCTGTGGGGTCATTCCATACCAAGTCACCTAATGCTTGTCCGGTCCTGACCTGGATTTCCATAAAACAACTTCTATCAAAAATAATTTAGGCAGCCATGCAAAAATTCAAAGCTGTGCTCTACTTAGTTTTTTACTTACACATTTTTAAAGTTTGCCCTGTCATGTTCCAAATCACATCTATACCATCATAAATATTGAGCTTAAATTATTGAACTGGTCTGAAATATGAACTGGGTACACATATAACGTTAAGAATAACATCTCACTTCCTTAACTGCTTTCATATTAATGTATTCCTGCAACAAGTTAATTTATTAATATGCTTTCAGTTAGTTATTTTAGTTAATTGAATTGGAAAATTTAGGTTTTATGTAATATTCCTACATTTCTGTCAACCCTATCAATCTTTAATTTCTGCACTCACTATTTGTGAAACTACACCTTGAGTTCAGAATAGCCACACTAAACTAAAAGGCCATTTGACAGGTCTTTTAACATATATTTTCTCAAAAGGGACTAATCCTGTTTCATTCAAACCATTTCTTTATTAAAAACAGCAGTTTTGGACAGGCCCTAGATAAGCTGGCATGGCATCTTAAAGCAAACCCTCTCCATATTCTTTTACAAGCACATTTGCCAAAAAGGAGTGTAAATATCTGCCCTCAAAGTGATTCTATTTGATAAAATCTCAAAGCAAGGTGATGCCATTATGATTATGATTATGACTAAAACACACTGAACAAGCAAAGGTGACTGGAGGAGTTGTTAACACAGTAAATGCATGTATGCTGAGATTTTATTTCAGCACATACTTCAATGATTATTATAGTTATGATCGATGATAACATTCCAAAAGTTGATGTTGAATTGCCTTTAGATTAGATTAAGAGACCCTTATTACTCCCACAACAGGGAAATTTCACCTCTGCATTTTGACCCATCCGTGCAGTGAAACACCACATACACACTAGTGAACACACACACTAGGGGGCAGTGAGCACACTTGCCTAGAGTGGTGGGCAGCCCTACCCATGGTGCCCGGGGAGCAGTTGGGGGTTGGGAGCCTTGCTCAGGGGCACTTCAGTCACGTACTGTCGGCTCGGGGGATCGAACTGGTGACCTTCCGGTCACAAGGCTGGTACCCTAACCTTATTGGCCTTATTGTTCACCACTGAAGCCGTAGGAGCCTGCAGATCAACACATTTGAACACTGAAGCCTGCAGTGTGACTTTCTATTTGTTTCAATCAGTTGCAGGTGGAGACGGTTCTGAAAGAGATGGTTTTGAAAAGGAGGACGAGCCTGGGGATCAAGAAGGTGAAGAAGGAAACAAGGATTGTGAGGCTGTAGATAACAGCATGGAGGACAAACTGGGGTTAGGTCTGGGATTAGGAATAGTACCACCCCCAACATCCGAACGCTGGCTGCCACCTTCACCACTCTATAGTGCTCCCTTCCTCAATGGGACTCCTCAGCCCAGTCCAGAACCTTCCCTTGGAGCTCATCAAGGCCCACTCGAGCCCCCTCCATCACGCACCTCCTGGCTGGAGGATGAACTTAGGGGACTCGGGGAGGCAGCTGTGCAGCTCGGGGATCGGCTGGAACAGAATCTGCGAGAGTTCGGCGAAGGGTTCAGGCGTGACATGCGGACACTGGTGGCCTCTCAAGAGGCCCTTACAATAAGCTTGCAGCAAAACAATGTGCTTTTGCAGCGACTGTTAGGACTTCTCGAGATGCAGCATCAGCAAAATCAGCTTCCGCAGCAACAGATCCTGCAGCAACAGCTTATCCAGCAATCATCACAGGAACTTTCACGGCATCAGCAGCAGCAACAAGGAACTCCGTCACAGCAGCAGTTACCCCAGCAGCTTGAACAAGTTCCTCAAAATGCGAATGAGCAGTTAGCATCTGTTACTTCAGTACCCCCACCTCCAGATATTTTAGATGGCACTTCTCAGCCTGAACCGCCAATTGTGATAAACACTCAAAGGCCACGCCGCGGGAGAACAGTAGACCACAGGAGAAGACGTAGACACTAGATATGTAAATTGTCTTCAGTACAGACCACTAAAGTTGTGTCATCGTTTTGCAGTCAGCGCCATGTCCAAAAACGGAGCTCCAGGTCTAAGCTGGTTTTCTCTATGGGAAAAATGAAAGGTGTTTTTGGAAATCAGCGCTGCTGCGCTCTGTGGTAAACAAAAGTTGCTACATTTTTTGTCCTACATATCGTCGCTGTCCGATGAAAAACATGTATCTCCATTTTTTGCAATTTTCACTTTGCTGCATCGTTTGAGCTCAGCAGCTGTCCTTTACATTGTGTGAAAATTTCATGATGAAGGGACCAATAGAAATGCTCCAAAATTCCTAAGAATAAAATTTCTTTCCATTAACTTACATTGAAAGTTAAGAACATTTTGCCCTCTCCTGTAAAGTTACTCATTTGGAGATGCTTGTTTTTCTGGGACAGTGACAATATCCACATTTTCCCACAAATTTCACTGGATCCTCTGAACTGCGGTCATTTATTAAGTCGAATTACAAGTACTGCTACTTGCGAGCTAACACTGCTGCGCACTGAATTGAAAACAGAAAACTCGCCAAAATACCCCATTTAAAGCCAACAAGTACCTAATGTTTGGTAAAGTTGCTTAACTTTAGTAGTGGACTTCAGTGCGCAGGAGTGTTAGCTTGATCGTAGCATGGATGTAGCAATAATCGACTCCTTAGCAACCTAATTCAAATGATCCGGTGATATTGGGAGGAAAGTGGGCCAAACATACCACATAGTGCGACAACAGTTATTCTTCCCATAGAGAAAAACAGCATAGGCCTAGAGTTCGTTACTGGGGCATGATGCCAACTACATCACAAACAACTTCAGTGGTCTATAGCTATTTATTTCAGTGTTTTATATTCTGATGTACAGCAGGTTGTGCCATGTCTTAAAAGCTTCAATTTATTTGCCTGTTGCATATTATGGGCTACATGTAAAAAGTTATATGAGCATCATATTTAATGGGTTATTCTGTGTCAAATTACTGTGGAATTGAGTAGAGCAAGTTATACACAGCATGGAAAAAGACAATGTCTGCTGTTTTTGGTTATTTAATTCACTAGGACAAGTACTATTGCCTGGAACCCAAGGTAGTCTGCTCAAATACATATCTAGGGATATGTCAGATGGCTAATGTACGGACAGATGATTGTTTCATCATTATATTTTTAGCAGTCCCAGTCTTGGAGCACTGCAATACTACAAATAACCATCATCCTTATTTAGTTATTCTTAGGGCCTGTAAACGTTTAAACAGGGCACTAAATTACATCATATGCTGCTGTGCTGTTTCGTTAAATGTTAAAATAGTGCTGTTGTGGTTGTTTCCTTGGATTCGCTTGGTGTTTTGAAACTGCTGTGGTTTAAGTCTAAACCACAATCGTGAAACTACTGAGATGTGAAGGACGCCACTCAACACAGTGGCCAATTTGGGATTTTTATGTGTTTTTCAGTTCAAATGTTCACAGTGATGCTTTTGCCATCACTCTGCATCCCTACAGTGGCTGGAACAAATATTTGATAATATTCAGTCAATTTGCTAGTGTTCTAAAACTGTAAAGGCATTTGAATTACCAACACTTTTAATACTTTTATGAACGTAATGAATGTATAATTTCAATTAGGTTTTATTAAAAAAAACCTAAATAAGAAGCAAAATAAATAAACAGAATTTATGCAATAGTACGAAAAAGTGAATAAATCATAAGAATTAGTAGCATTAATAAGTCATTATATACAGTACAGTGTAAAAGTCAGAGATAACCTTTTCATTCATTTCATTTCCAGTCGGTCAAGTACAAGTAATTCATTTTCCAGCATTAAGGAAAAAAGCTGTTTTTAGTATTTAGCGCGTCCAGTTTTGCCTTAATCGTAGCTTCTGTTATTTTTTGGACACTTGCTTTCAGTTTTTTAAAGAAATCTTCCACACCTCCAAGGTTCAGTCTTAGAAATTGGTTGTATTTTCTGTTGCCCACCATCCGAATTATCCCAGTTACATCATTTGGACTCATCAGTTTGTAAAACCTTCACATTGTCATTGTCCATTTTTGGTGTATTAGTGCAGATGTTCTTCTTTCTTGTCTGTTTTGTTTTCTCAGTAAGAGCTTCTTGGCAGCTACACATCCTTTTAGACTCATAGCATTGAGAATCGAATCTTACAGGATGGAGAGAAAAACCTTTTTTAAAGTCTCTTTTAAAGATGAAAGCTTTAAAGTGCTGTTTTTCCACTTATTTTCCCTTCACTTTCCCTTTCCTTATGCAAGTGGATCATCTGTAATCTAATCTCCCCAGAGTTTTCTCCTGAATAATTTGCACTTAATGGCCATTTCTACTGGAAATTAAATAAGTGAAGGTTGGTCTCTGAATAATTACAACAGAATTTCACCGTTGTCCAAAGAAAACCTTGTATCTCCATTTTTTTTAATGCTTTTCTGTTTTTGGCACAATTTGAAAATGCCTGTTGCTCTTTACATTGTGTGTAAATTTCATGAAGAATGGACCAAAAGAAACGACCCAAAATGACTTGGAAAAACGTCTGGTTCCATTGATTTACATTGAAAGTAAAGTATGTTTTTTCCTTCTCCTGTAAAGTTACCATTTTGGAGATACAAGGTTTTCTTCAGACAACAGCGATTTACTTTTTTCCATTCAGCCATAAAAATGTAATGTCTTGTTCTTATAGAACATTTAAATATTTGAGATAATATTCGATAGAATATTTTAAAAAATTCAATAGTTGCCGCTTTACCCATATTCGGTTTCTACAAGATCTGTATCGGGAGTCAAAACCTCCATTCTTCAGGTTATTTGACACGGAATGACCCGAACACCATTATACCTAAACTGACCTTTGTGTATTCTTAGGTGGCACACAGTAAATTATTGATGATTTCATTTGACCACTTCCTGTATTTAGTTATTCATGCCTATGTTTGTTTAATAATCATCATATTAAGGTAGAGGTCCTGTTTTAATGGTCCTGTCAAGGTAAGATGAACTAACGTCTTTCTTCCAGAAACAAGAATCAAATACTTGGTGCTGAAGGATATTTGATACTGTCTATGAAAATCGATCTAACTGCTCTGTAATGAGTACTTAATGCACTTGAATTCTTAGGCTGAAAGGACACATTTTTAACTGAACAACCACTTCATGTTGATAATCTATTCTGTGCATGCCATGCAAGGTAGCTTCTATAGATTGGTGGATATATTTTGCAAAATTTATACCATGTACATTAAAAGGACCTTTACTGGCAAGATGTGTCTGAATATGAACATGCATTAATAAAAGATCTGTCAATCTGTCATGCTTCCTGTTCCTTCCAGCAGTGTACTTTTGACAGTGGAGATGTGGTCAGTGTATTAAATGAGATTAACAGGTAAAGATTGCAAAAATGCATATGAATAACACCCTTTGTTGTAAATAGGAATATATTGTGAAATTTCAGGGCTAAGATGTTTAAATACAACCATATTGTGGAGATTTCTCACCAGAAAGCGGACTGCATTAGCCTCTTTTATCAGTGATTGACTGTAATAGGTCATTGCAAATGTCCATTTCATCTTTGTATGAATTTGTTTTAGGCAACTAGGGGAGACCTAACTTCAGTGCTCTAATTCCATGTACATTTACACCAATCAGGCATAACATTATCACCACCTCCTTGTTTCTACGCTCATTGTCCATTTTATCAGCTCCACTTACTATATAGGAGCACTCTGTAGTTCTACAACTACAGACTGTAGTCCATCTGTTTCTCTGCATACTTTGTTATCCTGATCTTCAATGGTCAGGACCCCCACAGGACCCCCACAGAGCAGGTACTATTTGGGTGGTGGATCATTCTCAGCACTGCAGTAACACTGATGTGGTGGTGGCGTGTTAGTGTGTGTTGCGCTGGTCTGAGTGGATCAGACACAGCAGTGCTGCCACCACTATACAAAAAAAAACTGAGTTTCTCTGTAAATGATCTACGTCAGATCAAACCTCTTGGAATTACTTTGTTTACATCTCAACCACTGAACTATATGGAAGTTTTGAAAAATGGGTGGACTTTCCCTTTAATGTTTCTAAATTCTTATTTCGACATAAAATTATTAGTTAGTTTTCCCGTCTTTTGCCGATTTTGCTGATATATTTTTGCCTTCTGAAATCTTTTGCTTCTGACTTGTGGCAGTTCTAGGGGGGCGGGTCTTAGAACAGGGCGTTCACTCTCTATTGGTCAACGGATTTGGAGTGACAGGTCTCCTGAACACGTAGCCACGCCCACTTTGATCTGCCTCAAACACTGATTTGCACTCATTTTCATATACATGTTTACTCAAAGACAGGCAGCAAGACTAATATATTAACTGCCATAATTTTAGTATAATATTGGCCATTTTAATTTCTGAACATTTTGCTCGTGGATTTTATTACTTCATTTCAGATTTGTGGCACGGAATGAACTCCACAGGGGGTCCATTGTCATAATTAAGACCCCACATACCCCCCCCATACTATATGGACCTGACTGACAGCTAGAGGTCGCTGTTTCTGCCGTACTCCAGCACAATAGGTGGCGGCATGCCGGGTGTAGCGCCACTGTGAGCGTTACTGAGCACGAAGAAGATGTCACGGGGGAGAAGAGGGGACTCTTTCGGTAAAATATGGCCGCTTTACGACCTGAACCCGAAAAAGCAGCGGATGGCCAGCTAGTTAACCGTGACTTCTCAGGAGAGCAGCGCGGAGAAGGCGAACCGAGGACCTCGACAGACGGAGCTGCGGAGCCCGAGTCCGAGCCTCAGGGCGCCGGCGTGAAAGAAGCGAGAGGACGCTGTAGCGCTACAGCTGTGCTCAATTCATCTCTCCATACAAGCTGTGCACAGTCTGCATTTAACAGCGAGCCGAAAGACCCCGCCGGGGTCGCTTCACTTCGGCCTGCGGACGGCGCTCAGAAGCTCCTGCAGGCTTCCACACATCACAGATCTGAGCTGGTTTGGTCTGAGGCGGAGGAGGGCTGCGATTTGACGCCTCGTAGCAAAACATGCAAAGAAAGCACGGGTGAGCACAAAGCACTTCCACAGCCTGTTGGATTTCTGTTCGTTCTTCATTGTGTTGTGTAGATGTTTTGCTGTAATAGTAGCCGCCTATCAGCCTTGATCGTGCTGCATGTGATTACTGTGCATCTGCAAAACACCACTAACTTTTATGAGTGACTAGTTGTTTGTCCAGTCAGCTAGAACTCAGTTCAGCACCATGAACATATTAAACAGCAGCTAGTTAATGAGATCGGGTTTCATTCAACTTTCATAACATCATTTTAGGGGCGGGTGAACTGTTGAAATGATATATGAGACATTTGCACATTACATGTTATGCATATTATATATTTAGTGATGTTTTTCTGGGTTGTCCTGTGGTTTGGAGTTGGAACCAGCAGTGCCTCATTTAAAGGATCCATATCACACAAAACCATTTTTTCCTTGCTTTTTGAAATAAGTTTGCTGTTGTATGTAAGTTTGTTAAAGGTGCAGTGTGTAAGATTTAGTGGCATCTAGTGGTGAGGTTGTAGATTGCAACTGAATACCCCTCCCTTTCCAAGTGGAACCTACGGTGGCTGTCGGGTTTTCTGCCTGTCCCGATTTTGTTTGGCTTCACGTTTTTGCTTCTTTGACATTGACACTTCATTCTCCCTGGCTTTTCTTGCCCTAAATAAGTATGATCCTCCATTTGTCCAAATTTGGATTCTTAAACTTTTCACAACACAAAATTATAAGCCGGCACAGCACCGGCAGCAACCGCTGATAAGATAACAGATATGATAAGATGATTCTTTATTAGGCCCGAAACATACTTCACGCAAGGACGCGAACGCAAGTGACAACGCTCTGTCAACGCACTGCAAACGTTCGGTTCTTCTGTACAAACTCACCACGTGTTCTTACGGTGCTGTGGAGGTTAAAACACTCAGTACTGAAGGGGGCGATAGAATACAAATTTAGAGAGGGACCTGCTGTTATGCCAGCAGCTTCAACAGCTGCTTTACCTCTTCTCTTGGATTGGAAGTGCGCTAATCATATTTTTATGCCATCTTTGCGTGAGACTTTTGGTACCGCTTGGTCAGGCTTGGCTGTCGTTATAGCGCCCCCTTGCTGTAACACTCAGAATGCAGCTTGCGCTTGTGTCGCGTTATGAAATGCGTCATGACACGTTTTTGAACACAACTATGCGTGACCCCCGTCTGCGTAGCTCGAAGCGTCTGCGTTCGCGTCCTTGCGTGGAGTATGTTTCGGGCCTTAGTCCCACAACAGGGAAATTCTCAGTGCTACAGCAGCAAAGGGATAGCACAGCACTCAAGGCACTTAACAAGGTATTTACAGTTTGTTTCTTGTTACTTTATAGACAATATATATAATTCTAAAAGAAAAAAAAAATCTTATTTCTGCATCTTCAAACTGGTGTTGTAGCGCCGCCAAATTCAGGCTGGCACTTCAGGGTAAAAACGCAAAAGGCACTCTCTGGAGCCAATGGTTTGTCTGTTCTGAGCTACAGTAGAAACATGGTGGCCTCAGCTGGAAAAGGACCCAGTCCTTATGTAGATGCATTGTGTCTCATTCAAAAAGCAGTACGAGATGAAACACTCTTTATAACTTCAGTGGGAATGGGCAGGGCTGACCCGCTGTAGGCCGAATAGGTGTATATATGTAAATGTGAAGTCTCACAAAAAACATTTGAAACAGACTATTTGGCAGTTCAGTTTCCTTATATGACATTTATGGGGAGTAAACGATACATTTTGTAACTTTTTGTTGAAAACAGTTTTACGCACTACATTCCAGTCTTTTATTTCAAAAAGCAAGGAAAACTTTTTTCTTGATATGGGCCTTTTGACTACTGACTTATATCCACAGTAAACTCAGAAAAGTGTACTGTGATGTCATTTATCATAAGAACAAATATTGTTATATTGTCCCCCCTCTAAATAATAACTCTCAATACTTAGGGGTACCAGAATACTAGTATTGGGTATACGTATTTAAAATACAGTAGTTAAGTCCTTGTTACGTTTTGAAAAAAAGGCAGTATTCAGAATAAAGTTTAGTAGAATGCTTTTAGATTATTTATTCCCTTTAAAAATACAAATCCAGTCTTTAAAATAAACATCTTTTTAAAAACAGCGCATGGCAGATCAAAAGAGGAGCTCAACAATGTCTTTGCTAAAGCCTGAGTAGACTGATAAACCAGTGTGATAAGCCAGTTATTCATCTGAGTTCTCTTGAGTGATGATTGAACAGAACAGTCTTCTCAGTAGCGGATATGTTTATGAAGCTTAAGAAGCAGCAGGGGACTGAAGCAGGTGATGAGAGCAAAAAAAAAAAAAGTAAGAATTCCAGAATTTCATCTGAATGTTAAAGTAATGATGAGCAATTTTTTTCATGAAATAAATGAACAGAAGAATTATATGAAGAAAACTGCCAACCAGTAACAGCAGGAAGCATTGTGAAATATATAACAGCAGAGTTTTTCCCTGTGTGCCTTATCAAGATGGATTCCACATGTATTCTGAATACTTTATGTACAGTCTTATGCAAAAGTTTGCGCACCCCTGGTCAAAGTGAAAATGAGAACACGTCCTATACAGTGAACAGACTTCTTCACATTTCAGTGCACAAATACTGTTTATTTGCTGAATTTAACATATTGGAAAACAATAAAATATAAAATGTGGCCTGTGAAAAAGTTGCGGCACATTGTATATTTAATCTTTTATTTTTTTTTTTCTCCAATATGATAAACTGGGCAAAAAACAGAACAACAACTCAGCAATAACTCTACATACGATTGTTCCCTTTACAGGATAGTTTAACTTGTTTTAACTACTTATAATTTGACCAGAGGTGTTCAGGCTTTTACATACCACTGTAATGTAACACAACACGTTACTGAATACATGTAGTGTTCAGTATTCAGCCATCACTTTCTTATTCAGTCCAACTCTGGTGTCTTAGTTCATTAGGAAAATAAATAGAATTATACAACTTTATATGTAAATAATACTGTATTTTGCACTTCTGGTTAGATGCTTACCAAATGCCAATCTAATATGTGGTGAGAAGTCTCTTCATTAACTGATGTATAGGATTAGGTTGAAAATGGTTTAAAAATATATTTTTTGGTTCCTCAAAACAAGCTAGATCATCATGAATGTGCTACTTCGAAGAGAGAAAAAAATGTTTTCTGAGGCTCTTATACCAGGAATATGCTAGGATACACCCAGAGTAGTCTGATGAACATCAAGCTGTCGCCACACCAGTACCTACATTTCTGACCTTATCACTGAAACACTGTAAAGGTGTTCCATTGTAAATCACACTGCATTGTAAAAATGAGCCTCCACTATCTTTCAAACATTAATGGTTTATTAATTAAAATAAATTTGAACATGGGATAACTGTGCACAACACCACTTTATTATTATTATTATTATTATTATTATTATTATTATTGTTATTATTTTTATTATTGCTGTATCAATTTCAGAAAGTTAGGAGTGGTTCCTAGAGAACTGATGATGATTATGTGGCCAAAATGAAATGATCAGGGTGTTTCAGATGTACAAATCAAAGAAAGTATGAGGTTTTATATTTATTACTATTTGCCAGAGGTATAAATAGTATTGAAAATCCCTACTCAAGTACAAGTACCGTTAATGTAGTGATAATTTACTCAAGTACAAGTAGAAGTATTAGTAAATAAAATTACTCAAGTAAAGTTCAGAGAGCCGAGACTGATCACAGTTCGCTCTGCTAGTGCACATCTACACACCTTTCTGTGAGCTGTGTAAGGAACAAGGTTTACAGTAAACTGCATGCATTTCATGGTTAGATGATTATATAAGACGTCCTAGTTTATCTGTTACCATTTAGAATCCCTGTAAGACTGAGCAGAGGGTGTTACTGTTTAATTAAGTTCACTTAAGAAAAAAAAATGAATCAAAATTTTGAGTAAACTGCTTAATTAATAAGATCATTTTAGTGAGAGTCCAGCTGCCCATCAGCTCCCTGGACTCTAGCTTACGTTAATAGGTGTGACAGACAGTAAACACATTCACAGCCTTCCAGCTGTATATTTTCACTGATATCTGTTCAGAACACTTCTACCATTCAAATCAGCAGCAACATCAGCAACTTACCCAGCTTTGATTTTACTGTAATATATTTCACTAATAATCATGCTGATCACTCAATACAGAATCAGACATTATTAATGCATTTCACAGTTAAACAGCTACACAGCCTCTCACAGTTAAAGACAAACACAGAGAGAGAGCACAGAGAGAGGGAGAGGACGGGGAGGTGGGAAGGGATCAGATCTGGCCAGTCAACAACAGCACGACAGAATCACTGTCCAGAGTTAATGAAGATCCTGTATTAGACCAGATTTCTTGTATCACAGCCGTTCACGATCACTTATCTCCAAAACAGCAGTGAACGGTAAACTGCAGACTGTAGGTGACACCTGTTAACTAAGGTGGCTGACAGGCACTGTAATAAAATATATGCAACAGATTTCAAGTTTAATAAACAGAGACATCATAAAAGAAAGAAAACGTTTTTCCTGCTGGAGCTGCTGTGTTTTGATTGGTGAATATTTTAAATTTAATCACGCGTCGTTCGTATTGATGTTTGAACTGATACGCTCATCATTTATTTTTACTCTGTAATGTTATGAAAATTAAAGTAGTGAAGTAAAAGTATTTCATTAAAACTTAACTCAAGTACGAGTAAAAGTACTATGATTTAATTCTACTCCAAAAAGTACTGTTACAGGGAAAACTGTACTCAGTTACAGTAACGAGAGTAAATATAATCCGTTACACCTCTGCTGTTTACTATTGTGTATACTGGAATTTGTCTAAAATCCTAATTCGTACAAAAATGATAAAATTGACTCAAGTCATGCTGACATTTAAGATTCCCTGATGCAATAATGTCAACTTAAAATCATAATTTACCATTACATGGTTTATGTATCTGGTAATATTAAACATGATTCATCATACCATTCAAAGGATAAATTCATTTTGTCTTGTAATCATTGATGAAATCTAATGACATTTACTGCCTCAAACATGTTCTGGTTTTTGATGACATCACCCTACGCCTTCAGGCAGGGAAAAAGAATATCAGTATATTGTTATATAATTAGCAATATCATGTTTCACCTCCTTTCCCACCACCCCCACCTTTCATCGAGCAAAATGCATCAGTAGTTCCGAGACCCTGTGTGATACCACCTTTCACTCTGAAACATGTCACAAAAGCACATAAAACAATATATATATATATATATATAATAACAAAATGTATAATTAATGTTATATTAAATCTTTTGCTCACATAGTAGGTTTTGAAGCTTTACAGTTGTCAGATACCTGTACTCATTTGTAATTAGTAAGTTGTATAATTGATATCAAATTACTGCTTCACATCAATAGTTATTTAGTGCAGTCTCTAATTATGCTGTGCTTTTTGTAATAAAGAGATTATAGAATGCACAGCACCATTTCAGTCTCTCGCCTAGTTTATGCTGCGTTTACATATTGACATTGAAAAAAATGCGCATTATAGCAGAACTGTTGCTGCGACAAAGTTACGCAACTTATGGTGGCACTCAGCCGTGAAATTGTTGCCATGGTGATAGCAATAGATTTCTGGTGGGGCGAAGCTGTTATTATTTTCCATCTACCCTATGCAGTATTTTCAACACACTTCCTTTAACACTTTAGGAGACTCCTAATGGAATGTTTTGCTGACCGCTGTGGTATACTGACTGTGGCACAATTTTCTGTCTCCGCTGTTTTGTTGAAAAATATGGAGCATCGGGTTTGCTGTCAGCCATTTATTGTCACAATGTAAACACAACGTTACAGTGCCTAGGCCAGGTTTCTAGTCCAGTTGAAAATTGTAAATTCACGTAACACTACAACCTCTGTCCGAGGACACTCTAACACTGAGTCTGAATAAACTTTTCTAGGATTGATTATTGCCCACTTTGCTGACCAATAGCACTTAGTCTTTTACTTTTTTTGCAGGGCCCGAATCAAGCCAAGTGAGAAAGGATGGCCAACCTGAAGAAGATTTGAGCTTAGATGCTGATACTGTGGAGCAGAAAAACTCACTGGCCCAAGACGAGGAAGAAGAATTCACAGATGTGAGTGTAGAAATGGAGTGTGACGATGAGGAAAAGGAAGGAGACGAAGAGAAGGGAGACGAAACTCCAGGAGAAGAGGAAGGAGAACCTGAAGGAGGAGATGAGAGGAAAGAAGAAGCTGAAGAAGGAGGGGGAGAAGAGGAGGAAGAGGAGGAGGGTCGTGAGATGGACGCTGCGGTAAAGCAAAAGAAAAGCCGCATGGAATGCCGCGACTGCGGCAAGAAGTTCACTCGCCGGGAGACGTACAACCTACATCGCCACTTTCACATGCATCAGGATGAGCAGGCCTCTCTCACCTGTAAAGAATGTGGCCTCACCTTCCAGCATCGCAGCAGCCTTATCAAGCACCGCACTGAACACAAACGAAATGGTGTTCCGCATCCAGCTCTGACCTCACGAAGGCAAAGGCGAAGAGTGTTCAAAGAAGAAATGATTGTTGATTGCGACCACTGCGGCGATCGTTTTACATCACTGATCAGATATAGACTCCACGCTTGTCAGCAAAACCTGGAAAAGCCTTACCGCTGCCCCCTGTGCCGTAGGGAGTTCCAATACAGAGTGTCTATCAATGCCCACATGCAGAGCCATTCATTAGATAGTCCTTACCGGTGCCTTGAGTGTAACAAGGGCTTTCAGTGTGCTGTGACGCTGCACATTCACCAGCGTTCCCATGCTGCCCTCAAACCTTATGAATGCCCTGACTGCGGTATGGTCTTCAGGCACCGCTCATTTATGGAGGACCATCGGCGTAGGCACACTGAAGAAAGGCCTCACCACTGCAAGATATGCGGCAAAAGCTTCAAATATGGCAGCCTTTTGCAACAGCATCAGTACCTGCACACTGGCCAGAAGCCATACCGGTGCTCAGAATGTGGCAAAAGATTTGCATTTGCACAAAATATGCGTGCACACTGTCGCCAGCATAAGAAAAACACGGTCTTTGCTAGTCCAGTGGAACGTATTACAAATCATGATGTGGCATATGGTACAGATTTAGGAACAGTAGGTAAAGAGAACACAAACCACGAAGTTGAGAAGCAGCGCAACTGTCCACTGTGTCCTCAGCTATTTTACAAAGCAGCTGACCTCAGAGAACACATGTTAATCCATGAGGCAGAGTACGAAAATCTGAGTAATGGCAAAACAGCTGATCAGGTCTATGCCTGCCAGTATTGTCCACTGAAATTTTTGGATGAACTCACCTTACAATCCCATATGTTGACTCATCAAGTTACATCAGCGCCTTTGAAAAGGGAGGTTCTTAGCATAGCAAGGGCAGGTAGTACTGAAAATATGCTAGGAGGAGGGGAATGGGGAGACCAAACAGAGAAGAAACCTTTGAAATGCAGGGACTGTGGAAAATGCTTTCGCTACCGTTCGGTTTTAGAGCTCCACATGCGCATACACAACAAAGGATACCAGTGCCACATTTGTAAAAAGTCATTCAGATTTAGCAGCTACTTACAGCAGCACTTAATTATTCATTCTGGGAAGAGGCCATACAAGTGCCCAGACTGTGGTAAGGACTTTGCGTTTCTTCAGAACATGAAGACTCATCAGAGACTGCACCAACAGAAGCCTTACCGCTGCACACAGTGCCGTAAGGGATACAGCGATGAGAGTCAACTGCAGCGCCACATGCTTTCTCACTCGGGTGAGAAACCTCACAAGTGCCACCTCTGTGACAAGAGTTTCGGTTTAGCGTACTTGCTTCGTGACCACCTTAACACCCACACTGGGGAGAGGCCCCACCGTTGCCAAGAGTGCCATAAGTCATTCCCCTGGCTCAGCAGTCTACTAGTCCATCAAAAGATACATGCACGAAAGCGTCAAGCATTGAACCAGTCTTTCTCTTCATTTGCTGTTTCCCAGAGAGGGAGGACTAGGGGCATTGGAGGCAGGGGCAGGAGAAATAGTAGGTGGATTTCAAGCTGGCCAAGGATGGGGGGAGATATTGATAGGACGATGCCACTGCAACAGGCCACTTTTCCTGGTCAGATTTTGCAGGGACCAGTGCTACCAAACATGATCGGGCACCCCTCTATCTCTGATGCAGAGGTGCTTGAGCGAGCACAGCAGTCGTTTCAGTCCTGGCACACAGAGAATCAGGCCAGGACCGTTCAGTTGCAGCAACAATGGCAAATACACATTAAACCTCAGATACAGCACCAGCAGCAGCTTAAAAGGGTATCTGACGGACCACTAAACGATGTCAAGCAGCAGTGGCAAATGGGAGCGCACCTGAAACCTATCCTGCCAAAACTGGATGGTCTGCAACAACAGCAGAATCCTGCCTGGGCTGATGTGGTGCTGTCAGCCCAGGCTGGGCCAGCTTCCAAGCAGCATCTAGAGAACTGCACAACACAAGACAATGGGGTCGCAGCTTTAGCACCTGGTATGGGCTTTACTGGCCCATTACAGGTGACAGGCGAACAAGAGCAAAAGAAGCAGCAACAGCCTCATTTCTGGGTGAGTTCACCAACAGCAGCTCCAAAGTCTCCATGCAACGCAGATGAGTCATCATTGGATATGAGAATACATTCACCAGTGTCAAAGACTCCAAATTCCCCAGACGAATGGTCTGTTTCCTCTGATGTAATTCAGAACACTAAGGCTGAACTTCATTCAGCAAAGGATAGAACTAATTTTGCCTTAAGAACACCTGATGGCTCATTGCAGGCAAATAATGAATCAGATAAAACTAACAATGGAGAGAACCAGGCACAAGGACAGCAGGCATCTGGCCTGGCCAGTTCATCCATTTGTACACAAACAGGGCAAACAACTGATGAGTCCAATGGTAAGCCTTGGAGTTTCAGAACTCCTCTAGAAATGCCTAAGACTTTGAACGTACAAGAAAAGCCTGCGAACGAAATGGAGGCGAAGCAGTCCCAACTGCACATAATGCAACACTCTTCACAGCAGCAGCAACAGCAGTTGCAACTGGTCCTGCAGCCACCACCTCAAATGCAGCTTCTCCAACAACCGTTGCAGCAACTGCAGCAGGAACAGTTACAGCAACAGTTACAGCTTCTTCAGCAACAGCAGTTTCATCAGTCGCCGCTACCACCACAGCAGCAGCAGAATCAGGTGCCCTCTGCCTGGGAAGGTGCATCTCAACCAAACCAGTTGGGAACAATCAGTATTCAGTTTGGGGCAGCACGCTTTGCACCTGGGCCTGGAAGTACTGTATGGGGCTTCCAGGCAACTCCAATTGTTTCTCAGACTTTAATCAATGGACCAATTCAACAAGGACCTGTGCGGGCACAGCAGCAATCTCCTGTAGTTACAGGCCCTCAGATCCTCCTAAACCAAACCTCTCCGTTTATCTCCCCACCGCTCCCTCTGCCGTCTCCCCTCGCTTTGCCTAGTCCTCACCCCATGCATACCGTAGCAGGGCAACTTCCAGGTCCAGCTTCTCAAGGCATTTTCTTCACTCCGCAGGGCATGGTGAGCGAGAGGCCAGTCGTGCCACAGGCCTTGCCCTCACCGCATTTACCACAACGAACAGAAGCACACAAACCTGGCGGTCAAGTCCTGTTTGGCCCAGATCGACGTTTTCATTGCATGGTCTGTGGATGCACGTTACCCGGAGAGCTAGAATTGCAAATGCACTATATGCAACATGCACAGGGAGAAATATGACTTTACAGCAAGTAAAGAAACCCACTTTACTAGTGTTTCTGTCTGCCCTTTATGTATACGTCTATTGAGCTGCCAATGAGACGATTGTTGACGGAATGCTTGTTGATGTATTTCCTCACTTGTGCATTTGGGTTTGCTTGAGGTGTGGTATTCCTCTTGAAGTGACTCCCAGTAATTAGTCAGTTCATGATAATACATTTCCAGTTTCAAAACAGTTCAATATGTTGTTGATGTCGTAACAAAATCTTGTATCTCTAAAGTGGTAACTTTTATAAAAGGAGGAGAAAACAGTCTATGATGCACAATAATGTGATGATTTTATTCCAGGTAATTATGAATAATATCGCATTCATCATGGAATGATCACACAATACAAAGAGCAGCTTGCATCTGCAAACCTAAATAAATAAATAAATAAGAGTGGAGAAAAATTCTGAGACTTTGATACGACAGTGACCATATACTGGTTTTAATTATTTAAGGGGCATTCCGGCCTAAATCTAGAATTTATGTTATTTTTTTTGTGTAATGTTGCATTTCATCTCTCAACTTCATCAGTTTGAAAGATATTTACAAATTTGTATTCTTTGTTTTTCTAATCCATCAGTGTTCTCTGTCTACAATATTCAGCATGCATCGCACAAATATGTCGTACAACCATTGGGATAATCCCCCCTCCCCATGGTGATAAAGTACACTGGTCTAAAGGCTAACCAGCGGGGCAACATTTCAGGCAGTTCCTCCTCGTTTCTGCTCCATAGCGGTTGTAGTTTTTCAAAAGTTCCTCTCAACTTCCTAGACTTTCCTAGTTTCCTAGGTTTTACAAGTCTTTAAACCAGAATATCTCACTCTCAGGACTACTGTGGCACCATACTAGGAGGTGTGAAGACAGGATGTAGCAATGGTTACGTTTTTCATTTTGGCTGGATTGCCCCTTTGATTGAATATAGTCACCTGAACTGAAATAGAATCGACTTGTACCCTAATGTGTTACACTGTGCAAAGCATTTTACTTCACCCATAGCTACGTGTTTATTATCAAAATAGTTTTTTGTGTAGTTTTTAATACTTTTAATATTCCAAATCATAATGTTTGGCAGTATATTTTTCTCTTCTGAATCAGTGCTTATGCTTATATGATGCCTATACAAATGTTCTCATACTGTATGCACACATTCTTAGACCATGGGCTGTGTAGTTCTTTGTCATCTGGTAAATTTCCATCACTTTCTCTACTGTCTTATTTACTGTATAGCATTTTGTGTCAAATCTCTGAAACATTGAGCGTCACACAGTTTGTGCTATTCACTGTTTTCCCCTCCCCTCAGTTTTAACATGGCATTTGTATGTTACAATCCCAAACACTTCACAGGAAGATCCCATCACTTGTTTTTTTTTGAATGACCAAGACCTTTGACATGCTCATTTATCCGTCTACCTCTGTCTGATTGTTGTAGATTTAGAATAAATAAAATTAAACTTAAAAAATGAAAAGCTTGACTTGGAGCAGATTCTGTTGGTCATTGCTGATTTTGAGCCAAGGTGTTGTAGCAGAAACCAAAGTTTTTGTTTTTTTTCTCATTGTTTCTTGTTGTTTTGGTAAACTTTTTAATTCTCTCTAGTGCTACTTATTGAACAAAGCTTTATGAAATTGTACCTTGGCTTTGTTAACTGCCTCTACAGTGTAGGCCAAATACTCCAGCAGTTTTGCTGGAACTCTATTATTAATAATTTGTAAAAGCTTTCTTAGATCAGCATATACACTCACTGGCCAATTTATTAGGCACACCTTGTATCTACACTTATTGACCATTTTATCAGGTCCATTCACCATATAGGTGTTTTGTAGTTCTACAGTTACAGATTGTAGTCCATCTTTTTCTCTGCATACTTTGTTAGCCCTCTTTTACCCCTTTTATCAGTGGTCAGGACCATCACTGAGCATGTATTGAGATCATTCTTAACACTGCAGTGACACTGACATGACAGTGAGATGTTAATGGGCGTCATAAACAGACCACTGATGAAGGCCTGGGAGACGACTAACACAAGCTGTACTGCAACACTGTGGGGGTCCTGATCATTGAAGAACAGTGAAAAAAAAAGGAGGAGTACTAGCAAATTATGCAGAGAAACAGATGGACTACACTATGTAACTGTAGTACTGGGTCATTTTACAGAAACATCCACTTTTCTATCTCTCCATTGGTGTCACTGGTGTTACCAATCGTCACTGGTGTTACACATAAGAAAGGTAACACCAGTGACATTTTTAATGAAAAATGCATTTTACAAAATGGCTCCGACAGAGCATCAAACCACACATTGTCAATCATGGAATATCCACTAAAATATGTAATTTAATCCATTTGTATTCTTTGTATTCTAATTTTTCACAATTACCTCAGACCAAAGTCGGTCACACCAGTGACTTCAACTAAAAGCTTCATATGAAATCATGAGCTAAATGAGAAAATCTCTGATAACTGGAAAAACACAGTGGACTTACCATGTGCTTTTTTTTTTATAGATCCTCAGAAAATAGGGAAAATGAAGTTGAGTGATGTCATCAGTGTGATTTTTATTTCAAAATAAGAGTTTTTTTGCTACGTGGTAACACCAGTGACACGACTCCTGGGGACCAGAACTTTCATTATATATTTTATAATATTTATTTGCCATTTGTTTTCTTTGTCATTTAATGTATATATTCCATAGTCATTTATAAATTATTGTAGGTTTTTTCTTCAAAATAGGACATCACCCTTTACACATGACTGTGGTGACAAGCACTTTGGTGGTGCTTGGAATTCTAGATAAGTGATTTAAAAACCAATATTGCTAAATTGATGGCTGAAGAAGGTGTAACTGTTGAAATAACGTATTGTTTTATTTGAAAATGTAAATAAATTGTAACCCTAACCTGTTTTTTTAAGTGTAATATATCTGTAAATGCTAGGGACTCAAAAATGGACGTTTCTGTAGAATGACCCTACTACAACGTGCACCGGATAAATGGTTGATGTGTAGATACAACGTAGGTGTACATAATAAAGTGGCCAGTGATTGATTATCAGCATATACGCAGGAAGCGGATAGATGTTTTCTGTGAACGTTCTTTTTTGGGATTTGGTTTAATTTTTTTTGTTTTCTTTTACTGTTTGCCTTTATTTTGCAACACACTGCTGAACGGAAATCCCGTCAGTTCCTTTGCGTTGTTTTTATTTCCACGCGTATTCCGACAAGCCCCGCCTCCTGCGCTATGTTGACTTGTAGTGTGTATGTATATTTATTCCTGCGATGGGTGTACTGTTTGTGCATATGAAATACTAACTATTATTATCAGTAATAATAGTCGTAGTATTATTTGTTGTTGTTATGCAGAATGCAGACGATATTAGCCAATCCTAGCGCAGGAGGCGGGGCCTGTCGGAATACGGGTGTGAATAAGAAAACCCCGCTGTTAGTTCACGTCTCTCGCGGTGTTCCTCCTCCTTCTCTCTGTGGCCCTTTACCGCGAAATGTGGCAGCGTTTCCGTGAGGGAGCGAAGCAACATGGCTGCTGTTTACTCGGCAGAGGAGTGCAGTCTGCTGCAAACAAACATTGAGATTTCATGTTCCGAAAAGCAAGAGGATATGGCCCAAGAGCCGTGCACAGGTTCAGGGAACAGTGGTGAAGTTTTAGACCTAGAAAACGCCGCGGTGCAGCTGGATTTACGAGCCGGCGGCCATGCACTGGAGGCCCAGCAGCACGAAGAAGAAGAGGCGGTCGTGAACGCTGCGCTTCCACAAATACAAATAAAAGAAGAGGAAACTGAGGAAAATGAATACATAACCGTGAGCCTGAACGTGGCTGGGGAGGATTCCGACGAGCAGACCGACGGAAACGCGAGTTTGTTGGCCGTAGACGAAAGTACCGACGGTGAGTAGTGTTAGCTAAGCTAAGTGTTTCCTTCTCGTTTGCAACAAAGCAGCTAAATCAATAGCGCCGCTAGCTTCACGTGTGTAGCCGTCCGCACTAAAATAAACACCTTATATTTTCCATCGCCACAAATAGAGCCCAGCTGCAGGCTCAAAACGTCAACTGTTTACACAGAATATGGGTATTTTTGTTGTTTCAGTTCTCTGAGGTGTATAGAGCAATGGTGCATTTCCACAAGAGGACGTCGACTGTGAACTTTTAGCTAATTGTGTGATGAAAAGGCCCGTTTTATTCGGATGGCTCGTGGTTTTGAACAGGGTTTGGAAAACTAACGTTACAATAACTATGTTTTAGCTTTGCAGGCCCCTTGTCCTCGGATAGAAGCGTATTTTTATTAGTTTAAAATGGGCTTTTATTAAATGCTAAAGCGCGCGGTGTCAAACATGAATTCAGTGTCTTAAAAGCAGTGTGACTGAAGCAAATCGAGTAAAATGCTGGTAAATACAGGTAAAACTAGTTGTTTCATCGACCAGCCTCTGCCATTTTACCAAGTGTAGTGGTCACGTGACCTACGTCTGTGGCCTGATTGGGTGATTCGGACCGCGGTGTTTTGTGGGAAGTGTAGTTTGCTGCCTCCACTCATCGGTTTATTATGCTGAAACACAAGTGTGGGGCGTAGATCAAACACAATCAAACACAAATAGCCTATAAAATGTAGAAAACATTTAAATGTGTTTTATAAGTGACACTTCTTCCTTTTTATGCCTTAACAGAATATGTCTTTGTTATATTAAATAATTCTTCATTTTTAAAGACAAAATTCTTGTGTATCTTTGATCGAACATTACATTCTTAAAGATGGCTTTTCAAGAGTTCTTTAGTAAAGGAAATGGTTTTCTTAAAAACCATGAGTTCTATATAGAACATGGTGCATGGTGAAATGGTTCTTCAGATTGGTGGAGAATGTATTATATATGATTATGTATAGCACCAAAAAGGGTTCTTCTGTTGTAAAACATAAACCAATAATATCATGTTTACGTCCCCTTCCCCAATCTATCATTAAACAAAATGCTCAGCTAGCTCAGAGACCGTCCCTGATATCACTAGGGATGCAACGGTATGTTATCAAACCATTTGGTACCTCCCCTACGGTTCAGTACACACATGTGAACCATGGTATTATGATGTGCCTGTCAATTTCCTATAATTTACAAAACTTGCTTTTTGCGCTGTAGACTACTCGCACATTGTACACTCAGATCCACAGAACATCTCTGGACCCTATCAGAATTTCTCTGGAGCCTGTCGGCGCTCTGTATGCAAATACGAGCCGGAGAAGAGAGGGGGAGCCGAAACAAATAACCCCTCAGCTCTGTGACAGTGGCAAGCTCTAGCAAGAGAGAAGTTAAGGCCACTGAAAACCGGATAAGTCGTGTCGTGCCGCGCAGCATCCACAAATTTGAAACTTTTTTGTTTTTAATGGAGGTACTCACACCGGTGCTGACACTCCGCGTCGACATGCAGTGGTGCTCGCAACTTCGGCAGCCAGTCTTTTAGGTAAACCGCTTATGGTAAGTTTCCTCCGCTAATGTTACTAACCTAGCGATTTTCAGCTCGTATCTTTCAGCTCAAAAACAGCCAGTTTGTGAAGAGGTAGTAAACGGATACCAAGCGTGACGATTGATGCTGAAATCTATATTTCAGTCAGTTTATACGAGTAAAGTGTAAAAATAAATCAATAAATAAATAAATTGACTTTTATCGGCTCTCCCCGGCAGCATTCTATAACAGTGCTTTGCTATGTGGTACTATTACAGTGTCTCTTCCCACAGGCATTTTAGCAGCAAATTAATTCCTGAACTCATGAAACATCACTGAGAGAAATTGAAAACAAACTGACACGGACATCCTATCTAGCTCTCTATAATGATTTAAAATAAATAAGGCAAAGCAAGTATAGGTGTGCTTCTTAAAGCTAAGAAGCACTTTTAGTGTTTTTCCAATCTTGATTTCAGACAGTAGACAGAAACGAGGCCTAGTCAGTCATGCTGCCATTTTTCTGAGCGGAAAGTGTTATTTGTTTACAGACAAAATAAAGATGTTTTTATTTTGTTCTTAAATATAAATATGCCGAAACTGTACCGTTACTGTGGCCCAAAAACTGTGATGCGTACCGGACCGTGGGCCCACTGTACCGTTGCATTCCTAGATGTCACATTTCACTCGGAAATACACCACGCATTGTGATTTCACGCTAAATTTAATGGCGGAAATGACAAGCTCTTACAAAATGACTGACTAGGCATGGTAATGATTAACTGTTAACAGAGAAAGGTTAATTTATTTTTGATAAATACTTGAAATTTGAATAGGCGGGTTTTTCA